ATGCAAAAGCTTGACCCGAATCACGAGGTAGAGCAACAGTGTCTTTAGTCTGGGGAATTCAAATTATTATGTTTATGTGCAATCAGATAACTCAGTGTACCAGATTTTATTCAAATTTAACTCGCAAATGGCTTATTCCTGGCTAGGTCCACATTTGGAATTTGTTTTCAGCCCCTACCTGATTTAATGGGTTTTACCCAGAAATTTCTTTTCAGTTTCTAAAATTGTAACTGCCTCTTATTGTCGCTTCTGTAGAGATGTAGGTGGATGTGAATCGTTTGACGGCAGCCTGCCATTCGCTAGATCAGGTTTAATGTCTTCATTATACAGCACATTTGAATATATATCTGTATGAAATTTGTGCTTTATAAATGAATAAATTGTTATTAATTATTATTATTTTGCAGTTTATCCTGCATCTTATGATTGCCCACATAAGAACATATATGTACAGTAACCCCGATTTAATTTGGTGAATTTCAATTTGTGGGATGGAAGGACGGATGGAAATGCGCAGGTTGATATTTGTAACTGGCCCTGGTGTCACTGTGCTTGATGGTTCTGTTGTCCGTTTCCTTGAACAGTTGACCGCGACTGACTTTTCAAACTATGCCGAGCTGCGGGGGTTGCTGTGGAGTCTCCGAGCCACATTCAGGGAATTCAAAACTCACGAACACATTGAGAATGAATGCATCATGCAGAAACTCCGACACCGGCTGGACTATCTCAAGGTATGTGGTAGAGACACATGTGCACTGTTGTGCACTGATAGGATAAAACTCTTAACCGTCTAAGATCCTCGTAAATCCATGAAAAGGCTTTGCAGATGTAGAATTGGGGAAGCCATTTATATCAACTTGGCATTGGACCCGATCTCTTTTAATTTGTTCAGATACAAGGAATGTGCCATTGGTGTCCTGCAAAGTGAAAAGTCTTGAAGGACTTAGGAAAATTCCTTGCTCAAACACATAAGGACTTTGAGTTAATCCTGACCAACCAGATGTAGGGCTGTGCCGATTATTTGAATATTTGATCGATTATCGAACATTTAAACATTATTTTCCAAATTTGAATATTTTAATACAAAATTCATAAAAAGGAAGGGAGAATTTTCTTTTGTTTTAAATGAGAAAAATTACCGTATGGAGGCTTGTTTCAAGCAGATTCACATGAAAAGCGACAGAAATCTTACGACTCAAAAAGTAAATTATTATTGGAAACATTAAAGGAAGAGAAATTTTCAACAGGGCAAGAGCTAGTGTTTGTCACTTAAATCCTGCTAAATCGTGGCTGGAGATACTCCTAGACATGAGAAACTATTATAGTGATTATAATGTACAATCGTGTACGTCATTGCATCTAATTTTGTATATGGTGTAATCATCAACAATTTGCTGGTCGGTAAGATAAACTATTGGATATTCGATCGAATTGAAGGTCGAATATTCGAATAGTGAATTATCCGAATAGACTCACTTCAACAGGTGAAAAAGTGTGGTGAGCCTTGTTACATCCTTCGGCATCACAATGAAGTGCACTGCCAGTGTTGAGATGATCAGAACTAATCCAATTGGACAGCGCCACTGTTGGGTACTGTGGTGGCTGCATATCTTAGGCCTTTCGGCCGTGGGACAGTTGACCTCTTTCAGCTTCTTGTACTGGGTGAACATGCCACTTGGATAACTGTTGCATGTTGTGTTCATGCTTCAAAATGAAATTCTTGCATGGAAATGGTCAACATTTTGCCACCTTGTTTTGAAAGGATGGTACAATCCAGTTTCTTAGCATTGTTGAGATTGTGGTGAGCTTTACATCAGGGAACAGAATGAATTTGATACAAGTAGTTTGTGTGCATGCTCCGATGTCTAGATTGAAAACCAAGCCGTGTACAAGATCCACTCTGACAATCGTCTGAGCGAGATGCAGGGCCTGCTGGAGGAAGGCTGCAAGAAGACAGAGCACTGCCACTCCCCCAGCGAGATGATCACCATTGGCAGCAAGATCCGAGACGCGCTGGAGGTCTTCACCAAGGACTTCCTGCCCCACATGCAGGAGGAAGAGGAGGTATGTCAGCGTTAGGCCTCTTCCAATTGACTTGGCTGCGCCTAGCGATAACGTATGGGCCTGTTGAAGCCGCTGGCTTAGTGGCTCCAGCTATGTTTCATAGACACGTGCATTGCTGTCAGTCACAGCCATTTCCGCGCACAGCCTCACAGCAGGAGCCAGGTTCGATCAGGGTTCAGTTGTTCACCACATGTTGAGTTTGCCTGGTAACCGGTACAACAGGTATTTCATGGTTGCATGAGTTTTCCACCTGCAGTTAACCGGTGGTCAACAGTGGCCAATATTTGACAACTGGGAACTCTTGAAGTTTGACGGGTTCGAGCAACGAGTCCTTTTGAGGTTAATATTTTTATCGCAAAATTGTTTTACAATTGCGGTAGACAGAGCATAATCAACTTTTCATGTTGACTCATGACTCAGTTTGACTCGGTAATGAGGAATGTCCCATGGATCTTTCAGTGGGCAAGATATGCTCAAGGACGTATTGCTCAAAGCTATTGCAAATTGTGACTCATTTTCAGACGTCCGTCCGCCTGTATTCTTTGGGGAACACAAGTTGTGGTGAAGGGGAAATGTGTCCATTTGTCACTGAGAGCAATCTTGGAACTGGCAACAGGGATGTAATATAATATTTGCCAGTGTGCAGTTCTCACTAGTTATGAGTTTCATGGAAAATGCATGTTGTGCCATCAAAAACCGTGTAAAAGGAGTCCTCAGCATAAGAAAGGGATGACCTAGATTGTTAGGCAACTAGTCATTGGACTAGTAAGATTACTAAGGGAGTTAATTAACAGGCAGCGATATCATTCTTGAAGGGGCAAGGCAACATCTCTTTGCAAAGGGCACTTGTATTAGAAAATCAATTTGTCTGTAGGGACAGTTAAAGGGGCATAGAGACAAAGACCAAGGCAATAGCCTCTGTTAGCCTCGTGGAGTTCCTGCCTTGAATTAATCTCGTGTCTGTCAAGGGTTGGAGTTAATTTGAGGTGAATGCGAGGCTCATTAATAGGGAGCATATCTCAGGTTTAGTCAGTGGACAAACATGTGGTATAATTGACGTATTGCAGTTGATCCCTTCTGGCTCTCCAGTTTTGTGTCTTTTGACTCTCTGATTGACAGAAGATTTTATTGAAGAGCTATTCTGTTCAATTGTCCAGTGTTTCCAGCCCTTGCTCATGAAATACTTCACTTACGAGGAGCTGAAACGCATCCGCTATGACGTGATCGAGAGGCACACCCTCCACACCAAGTACCGTTCTGAGAACGACAAGGAATTGGCCCCTGAAGAGTCATACGGTGAGCAGCATACCTTCTGGAAGGAGTTGAATTGAGGGAGAGATTAATCCCACAGTCCTCAGTCATCCAATGGGTGAAGGATCAAGGACTGTTAGGGTTGATTGGAAGGATGGGGTTAAAATATGATTTATTGAGTGTTGTTGAGAAAAGTTTTGAGATTTGTTCTCATTGCAGAAATACTGGAGAGTTTCTTTCCCAAAACAAACATTCTGAATTACCAGCAAAATAATGACCTTCCTTCCATTATAAATTTCCACCATTGAGACAAAATCGTCTTGTGTACTTTCTAGTTTTCATTTTAATTTGCAAACAAAGAGGTATTGAGACGATGTATGACCTTGTTTCCCTTCCCTTGAATTTTGCAGAGAAAGTGGATGATGTCAAAGATGATATTTCCAACACATCCCAAGACAAGACAGCAGGCCTACCATCCGAAGTCTTGGTGCACATCTTCTCCTACCTGAGCCCCAAGGACCTATGCCGCTGCGCACAGGTCAACAGCCAGTGGAACCAGCTTGCCATGGACGGCATGCTATGGAAGAGTCTCCATCCTGTTAGATGGGCACAAGGTATTGATCAGCCTCATTAAACTCTCTATAAACCCAAAAAGTGCATTGAGGGGGACTGCTTAGGTGTCACCCCCTCCTGTGCAGATGTTGACTTCAGTTCAGCGTTGGTGTGAAATGCTTGGAGCAGACTTAGCATTCTCAAAGGGTATAAGTTAAGATTCGGCACCAAAAAAATGATTGCAAATTGGGCTCGGTAATGCTTTGGCTTCAGAGGTCTAATGAAACAGGTCGTTCAACCGTTGCCCTCTCAGAGGCTATTCACCTTTGTGCATGTGTTGAAGCATTTTTTAGGATGTAGAGAAGGAAAAATGAACAGAGGAGGATCAAAGAAGACAAATGTTTACACGTGAAAGCTAAATCAGCTCAACACTGCACTTGCTTTTTTTTTTACCTGTTAGTAGCAAGTTCACAAATTGCGCTGAGATTGGTAGTGTGCAAAGGATTAACTGGATTAAAACCCAAAGCCAAAGCACGCAAAGCTCACTACCTGCTAAATGACGGTATGTAAACTGGTGTTTATATGTAATTGAAATAGAACCCAGCAAACGGAACACTCTTCTTCTTGGACCAGCAAAGGTGAACAAGCTTCTAAGATTTTTTTGGAATTCCTGATTGAGTTTGAGTTAATGACACGGTAAGATTATTACTGAATGAGTCACTACATGCTCATCAGAGCCATTGCGAACTGTTGATGTATATGTAGGATCCATCCATCTAACACTGACTGCATAATAATGTGTTCCATCTTTACCATCAGGTGACTGGCGTTTCGTCATTGATGACTTCCATCAGGACATCGAAGACCTTGGCTCAGACGATGGTGAGGGGAATTACATCACGGTGGACGAAGACGCTGATTTTAATGAGTCAGAGTCCTCGGCAGACAGTGACGAAAAGGACAGCCACGAGGTCAGCCAGTCGGCATTGCGCATCCGTCGCGAAGCCAAGATGCTGGATGGCATTGCCAAGCACCTGATTCCGGTAGTCGGACACGGAGTGGAGACACTGATGTTGTCACAGAGCAAAGGACTTAACAATGCCATGGTAAGAAATGACCACCCCTTCCAACAAAACAGGTCTTCAGGTCGTATTTTCAGTAATTTTATTTTAGCGTGACTGTCAAAACTAACGCAGAGGGTTGGTTGGTCCAGAAGGAAGGCTGGAGCTCAGATACTGTGGCTAACAGTTGTGATGCTGCCATAAAAATGCACATTAATAGCACTCTGCCACAGTTTCATCACAATTTTAAAAGTGAGGGGAATTCTAGGGATGTAGAAGGAAACTCTACGCATTCGCACGGTAATTTGTGATTTTGGTAAACGCGAGTTTCTTTACATTGGACAGAAGCTGGGTTTCACCAGATTTTTTTTTTTTTTTTACTACCGGCCATCCGGACCAGTGTAGTCATATCTTGACTGGTTGGTCACAGTTTGGACTAGTCCATGCTAGTTCTGCTTGCAATTTTGTGCTGTAAATTTTTTTTTAATGCAAGATGACAAATTTGCTATAAATTTCCTTGTTAAGCTGAGAAATAGTATTATGATGTGTTATGCTGTTGTTTCTCTCTACCTGTAGGTCTACAGATTGCTGTCTAACGCTCCGAACCTGAAACAGCTCGATTTGTCGCTCACCAAAATCTCCGATATCGCATTCAAAAGGTAAGGAGTGCATGGAAGATTGCTGTTTCGTGGATTAAACCAGAAAGTTTAAAAGTGCCCAGTTTGGGAATGTGATGTGGTGTTGGGTCGATTGAGGACAGCGTAGGGAGAGACATGCTCGTTTCCCTGTTTCCCTGTTTGCTGTCCCCAAAATGACCCCTTCAATTTGGAGGAGTGTTCTTGACAGCGTGGTCTTATTGAGAAAGGATCCTTTACATTCAAGCGAAAGAAGGAATGAAGTTTGAGCTGCTGCAGATTTGGTCATCTGAGGGAATTTGATATACTTATAGATAGAGATGCCTTAAACGTAAACATATAAACACCAGAACTAGCAATTGGCTTTCTTTTCTGTGCAAACTCAGTCTTGAACCCTCAATATCTCTTTATAAAAAATGTTTTTCACCAACATATATTTACTGACAGTGCTGAGATCTTCAAGGAAAGTCTCTGCATGTGACTTCTTCATGTGCGAAATGGCCCGGTTATTCAAAAGCATAATGACAAGCTGTCGTTACTAACCCACGGTCACTATCAAACAGTCTCTGTTCCATGACATCCTGAAGCACATGCATCCCACATGCATGCCTGAATTGGCTTACACATGATTAGGGCCGGGGACCATTTAGACCCGGTTTGAAAAGGGCCCCCCCCCCCGGTAAGCTCGCCCGGTTGCAAAAACCCCTTTCATACCGGCCTGGCTACCGGCCTGGGATGCTGGACTGGTTGTTGATCTCGAACTTCTTCATCCTGGGGTCTATTGTTTGCAAGTTCTGGTACATGTAATTATCCCAGAAGGAACCTGCTTGTGGTTTTCAATCCTTCAGCGCTATACAATGTTTACATTAATCTGCTTAGACCCCTATTCATCTGTGCAAGCATGTTGGGGGAAGCCTTTCATGAGGGACTTTGAAATGCCAATGTGCAGACAGGCCTTATACCGGCCTGGATTAGGCTGAATGCCGGGCAGGCATTATACCGGGTGGGCTACGGGGGGGGGCCTTTTCAAACCGGGTCTAAATGGTCGCTGTCCCTTAGTTATTATTCAGCCATCCCTAATTTAATTTTTAACCCTAACCCTAGATAATACTACAAATTACTACTTGTAATAAAATGTAACACGAGCGCTGTCGCTTGTAAGAGGGCATGACTTTATTGTTCTGTGAAGCCATTAGATTCAATAGATAAGACATTGTACCATATAGTGCTGTGGCACTATGAATGCATGGCTTTATTGTTCTCTGTACAAGTAACAATGGAAGTAACCTAGCCAGAAGTTTTTTTTTTTTTTGCGTTGGGGAGATGTTAATTATATATAACAGGTTTTGCCCTTATATATAATTAGCCAGAAGTAGTAATCTGTAGCGCTAGGTCCTTCCGGGTCAGGCTACTGCGTAGTATTTTGTAGTACTGAGTAGTGTAAGCTTATTGGGGGTGATACTTTGTGCGCAACTGCATAATGTGTATATGGGTCTTTAATCAAATGACAGGTTTGGTAAGAATGGCTCTGGTAGACGTCTGAAACACCTGAACCTCTCTGGGTGCACCAGCATCACCGACGCCACCCTCAAGCGGCTTTCTCTTGCCATCTCGCCCCCTCTGGGAAAGGAGGAACCGAACGGAGATACTTCCAGTCATCAACTATCCTGTTCCCTCGGCGCATGTGGAAAATACTGCTCTGAAGTCATCTCCATCGATGAGCTGTCAACTGACAAAAACGGCCGGCCGAAATCGCAGTGTGCCGAAAAGACAGTGAGCTCTGACTCCTACGAAGTGCATCTGAACCACTCCAGTCAAGGCACCAGACTGGGAGCCAGATTAGGCAGCACGGGACAACATTCAAAGTGCAAGGAGATGTCAGAAGCCTTCCTCGGCAAGTTAAACAGAGAGAACAACATCTGTCAAAGTTTCCAGGCTGATGACTCTCCCTACAGGACTAAAGATTGTTGTGGCAACTCAAAAGGGTCTGCTGTGACCCACAGGACTTGTTGCACCAACATATCAACTATGGACAGATCGGATGGATTCACAGACCGCCAACTGGCTAACCACACCAGTCAACTGGAATTTCTCAGCTTGGCTGGTTGTTACAGAATCACAGATGATGGACTAAGGTGAGAGATATGGATAGATTGCTCTTGAAATCTTACTGGCACAAGGTGATTTGGCCCAGCAAAGTTATGGTGCAAGGGAATGTTGTAATGTTATACATGTGTCGTTACTAAGTAAGTAATTTTGACTTCTGTGGTAATCCTGAAGCTCTAGGCTTCGTATAGCTTTGCTCTTCCATGCTGCGCTTTGAATTGGCGAAGGTTATGTAATTGTGTTCCATGAAACAGTACTCTTTGGTCAATCAACTGTACATATACACCTCACAAAGTGGGCATCGCCATTCTAACATTATCATTCGGTGGAAGGCATTTGCTTAACCACTTGCCACCGGGGGCTACGGTAGCAGAGCCATAGGCCTTATATTCGTGGCCAGGGTCTCCGAACTCGGACAAAGGAAACAGGGTCCTGTAACAAAAGACCATACTACGAACAAAAGACCAAGCTGCTGGGCATTACATTTTTCACCATCAAAAGTGGAGATAATCCAGCCTTGTTTTGAAACAGTATACCACGGTGTGGGGTGTTTAGAGGGAGCGGATTACCATTGGGGATAAAAGCGCTCCCCCACCGCAGTGAGCCGCACAGCACCGTATGTACACCGTATGTACATGTACGTTTTCCTGCAGAGTTTCAAATCCGTCGCCCCCACTCAGCTCCCATAGGAAACTCCACATATAAAGTGTGACATTGTCAGTCCTTAGGCCTGTCTGCAGTTAAACTTCCACAGAGTCTGAAACATCTTGATTTACTCCATTGGCCCTTTTTCTCCTAAATATTTAAATAAGCCTCCTGCACAGTGCCTTGCCAGAGATACAGTCAATACAAATTTCATTGTTGGATTTTTTTAATGAATGTTTGTAATTTGGTTACTTGAACTGCAGCTGTGGTAGAAACTTGCCATTCACAATTCTTTTTTACAAATTGCAAGCACAACGCTACTGAATTTGTTGGAAAGTGGACATGAAAAGCATACTGGATGCCTACATTAACCACATGCTGCCGGGTTTAATTTGAAGTTGCATGACGTATACCCGGGGGATTTTCAAGATTTTCCATTTTCAAAATTCTTCCAAAATTCATCCCTTCATTTCCTGGACGTTTACACCCACGCAAATGACTATCTGGTGGCTATTCTAATCTGACAGACAACATCTATTGACACCCGAGTATTTCAGCCAGGCCTGCTGCCTTGTAAAGAGAGTCCAGATTGTGCAGTGTTTTGTAGTTGTCTTTTGTTCCCGAAACTGGCCCGGTGCACTGCTGGCATCTTTACAAATGTGGACCAAATTAGCATGCAGCAGTATTGTATCACTCATCCCTGGACTGCTGAAGCGCTTTTGTCCCCAGTGGTAATCCGCTCACACTGGATGCCTCAAACAGTGGTATAATCATTCAAAACCATGATGGATTTCCTCAGATATTGTCAACTGAAAAAATGTTGGTGATTCCCAGCAACTCTGTCTTTTGTTCTGAGTACGGTCTTTTGTTAAAAGGTCCAGCTCTTTTGTCTGATTTCGGGCAGCCCGGCTATATGTATAAACCTAAGAAGTCCAGTTCTGGAAACCCCAGCAGTAAGTGGTTAAACTCGGCAAAAAGAATGAACAGTTGTTTTTATTCCTATTGGTCAAAATGCATCATGTGTCTTTGTATTAATGTTTGATAATGCCCACTGCGGTGTGATCATGCCTACTGCCTAAAGCGTGCGCTGGCACCTGGATACGAGACAGGTGAATCCATTCTGATTGGGCAAGAGTCTGTGTGTAAGCAGCTTGCCACGGTGTGCCAAGTCCATATAAGGAGATTCTTCTGGACTACTTGCACAAGGAATATACCATCAAATGAATGGTGGTGTTTGGGGAAATGAAAAAAAATTCCTGAACAAAATCCTTGGAAATTTATTGTATCATTGATTTCCTTGGACTCTCTGTCTAAAATGGTATTTGTGAATGGCAATTGCTGCTCGGGCATTAGTCCTGGTCAAGCACATATTTATTCCATTATTAATTAAAGCATCCAAGAGAGGTGCATGACACCCGCCTCGAGCAGAGTCACCCCCTCATCAGGTGAAAAGAGCCCTTTTGGTTGGGAGTGTCCATTTTGTTGGTAGCAATGCAATCATAACTAATGCATGCATTTCCTAGTTCAGTTCCGACCACAGGAGCCTCCGTTGCTAAAAAAAATGGCGCCCTCTGTTGGTCCTGCTTGAAGCCCCTACCAACCAAAGCTTACTTCATGCCCTGAGTATTCATGTTGTTAACTCAGAGAGTCTGTTTTGACACCTCCACGTCTTGTTTTTTTCAGTCCACCCCTGGTCATAATTTTTAAATCCTCGTCAAATTCAACAATCTGTGTCTGTTTGTTGCCATTGCGATGCTCAGGTACCTCGCTGGCAATGGGGGCCAGCCCCGTCTGAGGTACCTGGATCTCTCGGGCTGCCTCAGCGTAACCTCAACCGGCCTGAATCAGTTGGCGGCGGCCTGCACCAGCCTGGACCATGAGGAGTTCTTCTACTGCGACAACATCCTGGAGGGGCCGTACGCCGACACCGCCAGCGGCTGTCAGAACTTGCAGTGCAGGCATCTGGTCTGCTGCCGTAGCGGGGAGTGATTGCGCGCAGGTGAGGCGAGTGCTGACTGCTGCACCTTGTTAAAATACTCCATTCTGGCAGTAATTCTTGTTCACTTAAATGTCATCTTTGATTATGCCGTGTTCACTTGGAGTATATCATGTGTCTTAATGCCAACCCCAGGATACAAAAAATTACATTTACCCGTTAATGTCCTCAATCCGTCAAAATCCTCCTTGTGGTTCTAGAGGATTTTTGAGGAACGAGGCTGAACAGCAAGAAGGTATCACATATTAGGAAGGATGCATTGTGTTTCTGTCTTAGGTAAGACTTGTGTTTATGCTCTACGCCATGCCAAAATAAGTGAAGATGTGCATGTATTAAATTTATGCTCAAGTATGCAAGTTGCAAAAAAAAGTGCAAACAAAATTGTCAAGTTTGACCTTTTTACCAGTGCAAAACCAAACATTTTATTTGTAATTTTCTGACTTTCTTTCTACAGGCCTTCAATATGTGCCCAAATCATGTAATTTTTGCACACTGTTGATAAATATACTCCCATATATTTTGATCACCTGTCAAGGCAACCGTGAAAATGATGCGTACACATTACACCCAGTGATTCTGTGGGATCCAGTGTTTTTGTGGTGTAGAATAAGTGGTATTGTAAGCTAAACTAAAGTACTGCAATTTTGCCTTGAGTACTTACAAATTTTTTTTATAAGAACTATAAGTGGGAGATTAAAACTTGTGACACAAATCGTGCATTGTTGACTTTGCAAATGAGATGAGATTCCACACCGAGGACTTGTACTCAGACAAGTACTCAATCAAGGTCTAGGGACATGAACAGAGGTCTGGTCTGAGGACATGGTTGGCTGCACAGAGGGCTTGTAAACTTCAGAAAGCGTTATTTAAAAGTGATGGCAACTGCATTAATGATGCTTACGAAGATGCTTGTTTTAAGAAGCAGTACACTTGTCAGTGTTTGACGAAGGTCATCACTTTAACTGAGATGTTGGAGGCAGTTGTAAGTAAATCAAGAATGTGGCACTGAATTGTTGTTTAACCCTAACACTCCTCAATCCTTCACCTGTTGGAGGACTGAGGAGTGTAGGGTTAATGAACATTTTGTGAATGGAATCTTCCACTAATGTCGATTGCACACAGTTTGGAAAAAAAAGTATATAAAGAGGACAACAAATGAAAATCGAGAAGCACACGTTACAGTTCTTTGAATTGGTCTAAAATGGGTGCTTGCTGAACTCTAACGATCCCAACCCGGCCAAACTTGATCACCAGGCTTTGTTGGAATCTGTTAAGATGAGTGCTGCAGTGGTTTACTGGTTGTATTGCATGTGGGATTAGGCATACCACAAATGAACAGAGTGCAGCTGTTTATGCGCACAGTTTCTGACATGTACACTGTACACGGTGTTGAGATTTGCAAGGATTGAGGTGGCTAGTGAATCACAATAGGCAGTTGAGGGTTAAAGGTTTCTTTTCTATGTCATTGCCTCACTGCCTAGTATGGACACCCCGCATGTTGAATGTAGTCCTTACATGTACATGCCTGTTTGACGTCATTTCACCATACCACCTGATCATTTTTGTCATATGTTGGTCTTTTTTTCTCTCAGGAATAGGAAGAAGCTGATGTTGACTGCATCGTAAGATACAATAAAGGCTGACGCACACACACGATGGAAGATTCATCAGCTCAACAAGATTTGTTCAAGACGATATACATGAACATGTAGTTTTTCAGTTTAAACGTTAAATACAATGTACCAAAGTGTCCAGTCAGCGACCGCGCTAAATGTTATATCCATTGTGTTTGCTTTCTCAGTAGGCTAAGTCATTAATAGTCATTAAAGCAGTGAAGCAATTTACCGTATCGCTCCTTGAACTCCAAATTTGAAGAAATGGAAAAATCAGGCTAACCTCTTTAATTAATGTAGACATTTTCCAAGTACAAAATACAAGATGTGTTATAGTGAGTATCAACAAACAGTGTATAGACCTCAATATCTGTGATTTATGTCCTGTCTTCTTTTGCTTCAGACAGAATATGTAGAATTTTCAGAATTTTGTGTTTGGTGAGAAGTTTCCATAGAAACAGTGCACTTGCTTTTTGCATTTATTGCATACAGAAATAAATGCAGTTATAGAAAAGAAATAAGGACGAAAAATTGGGGGCCTGAGAGATAGAGGGGGAGTGCAAAGTGTTTCCCATGTTTTGAATAGACAGCCCCAAACTTGAAAAAAAAACAGCTCTTGTTGTGGTGAGAAGAGCGGCAGTCCTGAACTTGGGACAGTGGCATGCAGTGAGCCAGTTTAGCCAGAGATTGTATTTTTGCATCGTCTAAAGTTATTGTTATAATGTACAGAATTTGGGATTCTTATTACAGTTAGCAAGGGCGTCTGGGAGGTATAGCTCACTTCCAGTCGAGTGATTTCCCCGCTGTGTTCAACACAAATAATCTGGTTGCCAAGCACCCTGCAGCAACAGACTTTATTAGTGGCCCCTTGAGATTACGCCACGCACTCACAAGTCATGGTTGATTTGAATTCCTCATTAAGTCAATGACTTGTAATCATTGCATAGTATAACAAAGATCGTGTTGTGCTGGGGTGTAGGAAGGAACCCCTCTTATTTTCATGATATTTCGTTACAACATGCAGTGTTTTGTTAAGTTGTGTTAATTGATAGAAGCCGTGAACACCTGTATCTTCAATTGAAAGACGAAAAGTTTAAATATACTGTAACAGAGTGTCTGAATCTGTTTGATTTTCAAATGTTTAATGAGAAGCTTTCCGTTTTGTTGTTTTTTGACTAGTACAAACGATAGGTGCATTTACTATTTTGCTGTATATTGGGTCTTTATGGTCTCGAAGGTTTAGGCCTGTGTGCACTCGACAAATTAATATGGTTGTAAAATCCCTACTTTCGACACGAACTGAAAGGTCGAACATTTTAAGTATGTAAAGTACCCTCGTGCGCCCCCCCAAAAATCATGTTGACAATGACACCTCATACAACCACACTTGGTTATTTACCAGTTGAGCTCGCTGCGAGAAATTGACACCGGGAATTGTCCTAGGTTTGTATTTATTGGATTCCTTCCAACATTCAAATGGGCACCTGTCTTTGCTCGTGCATCGTTGCAGCAAATGCCCTTTGATTGATAATCGATGCATCACCAAGTGACACATCGCAAGCTGCCTACCTTCCGCGCACCTAGAAATCCTTACAACTGAGATGAGCGAGACACAGCAACCTTTGACGATGGTATTGAAACAAGGTAACGGAGATAAATTGATCAGACGAACTGGCATCTCTAGTCTATCCATACCTATTTGCTTTATTGACTTTCACCAACAGCCGTAATTCCCAGCGATAGTTCTGTTGTTGCTTTTTCAAAGGTTTTGTGGTTGGGTCGATTTTTTCCACACCAACAAATCGATTAGAACTGCCTAAAGTCAAAACAAGAGTCTTAGAATTAATCGCTGAATTGGCTGGAACATCTTCATGATGGCTTTAAATGTAGGAATGGATGTGTGTCAGGTTCTGCCATTAGTGGAAAAAGTGACAACAAATTAAACTCGGGTTAGGCCTTTTAAGATGTTCTTGATTCGAAATACATGTACACTGTACATGTGTATAGTAAAAGGTGTAATATCCGTTTGCGGGGTCACAACTGCAGCCGGTCGGGGCATGCAGAGTGACCGAGGAGTTACAGCAACATCGTGACCGAAGATGGAGTAAATGCCAAATCAAGATGGTGAAAGTAAATCAACCACAAAACACGAGCAGAGATGCATGTAGATGTTAAATAACAGAACTGAATAATGTATAATGTTCCAAAGTTTTCCAAATCGACAACATAGGCCTATCTTACAATTGTATCATTGACAGATTTACCTCAAAAGTTACAATTCTGGTTTATATACGACAGACAAACAACATGTACATCCTCACGACGCGCATGCATGGGGTCCTCGGCAGTTCAGAGAGTTTGTCTGAGTCTCGTATTTCAGATTAATAGCTTGATTTAACCAAAATGCAAAGACAATGATAGCGTGGGTTTTGAGGGACCTCCGGTCTTGTTCAGAATGTGGGTCAATCTATGAATTTGGGGTCCACTTTTTTCCTGTCCCGCTTACATTTGGCACATGATTTTGTACGTTTACAGCACTTTTTCATTCCCAAAAGTGATGAAGTGTTATGCAAATTACCTGCAAAAAAAATGAAAAGTAGTTTGAAGTCAATTATTCCCATGATATATTCCTCTTCAAATTATACGGGTCAAGCGTAACGGACAGAGAAGGGCTACGTCGGGCCCCGAATTTATAGAATAACCCACATGGGGTTCAAAGGAAAAGGTGCTCCTTCCCATTTCCATGTGATAACAGATGGCGGTCACGCGATTCAAGAAAAAAGCTAGAAATTTTGAGTTTTCACAATTTTTCGGTTCCCGGTCATTCTGTTGTCGTTTGCAATGGGAGCCTACGATTCAACTCGGACCGCATTGTTTTTGTGCACCAGGCAATGAAAAAAAACAGGCATTTGAGCACACATCACAGGTGTTCAACACGGTGCTCTTGGTTGATAGATGTATTATTTTAAATGGTCTACCCTGCTTTTTATTTATTGAAGTACATGTATCAATTGCTTTCTGTGAGCTTTAACGTTACACTGTGCACTATTTGACTCTCCTGTTGGAATGGACCCATCCAACCTTGGAAAAAAATTGGCATGCGCGCGCCCTAGCGCTAGCAAAATATCACAGATAACTGAATTTTGCATTACTCGCATAATGATAGTGTGCTGGTGCATTTTGAGCGCCCTGGCGTCTTACGAATCACCACCACTCCCAATCATGCAAATGTCGTGTAATGATATTGCCCGTAGAAAATGTACATTGTTACCGCCCGGTGCATTATGTCACGCGCGAGTTGGGTGTGTCGGGAGAACGGCTAGGAATTCCATTGTTAATTAATCATCAGACTTACCTGGATTCGACGCGCTGGAGGTGTACAAAATGTTCGCATCGTCAGCAAGATATACGTGTACATGTATTCACAAATGGAGAATTAACATCATTTTCTAATCTGGAGTTTTTTGGGTTTTTTTTTATTAAATCTTGGAGATGGTATGCGTCTCTTTTAAATGTTACATTTCGGGTGGGGTGCAGTGGGTCGGGCAAGAGTGGCCTGGGAAGTGGAACTGGTGACATTGTTCCAAAGTGTCTTTTAGTAAACCGAGTGAAAATGATAGTTCAGTGTTTCGATGTTTACGCAAACGTATAGTACCGAAAGGCCGAGAACTATCATTATGTTAATGTAGAAATGGCAGTTCATTAACATTTGAAAAGTAAGTGTTCATAAAACTCAAGGACGGCGTACGTTTGCATTATGTCCGTTTGGTAATGGTACAAGTGAAGACTCCGTGCGGCAATCGGGGATATGCGGAAGAGGATCAGGTTTCCTCCAAGCGAAGGATTTTGTGTGAAGGCCTAATTGGACTCATTTGGGCCCAAGGCAATAAGTGGATAAATCTCTAGCGTTCTTCTGTATCGTCTGTGGTATTGAAAGACAGAGACCCTCACACATTAACAAAGTTCTGTTTAATTATTGATAATTTCGGAGAGTACTCTGCAGTGTGGAAGAAAGAAATTAAAACGGATCCCAAGCTGTCGTTTGTGTATGGTGATATATTTTATCAGATCATGGCAACATTAGAATCCATAGCATGACCCATCACCAGCGGGAAATCTGTTGTATCAGAATTCGATTAATTGCACACTTGACGCGCTGCAGTCGATCGTGATCATGGTGACTGACGGTAATGCGAAGCCATGCTACATTTTGCGCAACACGCACATGTAGTACATGTAGGTGTAGTCGGCATTTCAGAACTGGGTGGCCAAAAATTCCTTGAATTTAAAAACAAGATGTCCAGGTTGTTCCATTTTTATGCCGTACTGCACATTCATGCAACAAACTTAGTACCCTAAATAACCTTGGTGTCCGTATCCAAAATAACCTAGACAACTCCCTGGTTATGAAAAACTTGCTTTCCTCTCCTTTTCCAGCGCAAATCCTCCAGTGATTCACCCCTTCCCGATCATCCCTCCACTGACCTGTCCTACCCTTTTACCCTTCCTTCGACTGTGGTCAAAGGCGTCCCCACTTCCCCAACCTCCATTTTTTTTCCCGAAGTGTTAATCTCTATTGTGATTGTTCACAATTTTTTGTTGCATAATACCCCCAACTGTACAGTGTATCCTTTCCCTACTGCCTCCCTTGTCTGGCGTTCTGTTCAAGCTACGGTTCAAGCTATGCATGTATCCAGCACGAAATGAAACCTAGGAGCACTCCCCAACATGTCCAATCCCTATACACACTATAAACTATTATAATCTAACACCCCCCATGTCTGAAAAGAATTTCTCAGATTCCAGTGAAAAAAATGACCAACACAAAGCGGAGAGGGGGGGTTCTCTCCGTCTTATATCTTGCTTCATGTGTATAAAGCATCTCTACAATCCCAAATACCTGTACACACATATACTTTCTGGAGAGTAACCACGAAGTATAACAGATCACTGTGCAGTCATATACAATTTTATTACGTTACATTCAAAGTTCATTGGTTCACGTGCACGTACCGTGCGTACAGGAAATAAACTGCATGAAAATAAACTAGACTAGAATCATGAGGTTCAGTACTCTTGGTACTCGTATGCGGAATCAAAAGATTCCCCAATACACCTGTACAGAAAACGAATTCAGTTCCGTGCAAAGTTCTGTACACAACTGGCACACAACAATGGACCCAAAATATCTTGCATTTATTTTTATTGGACGGACAGCTGAAAAATCACTGGTGTGTTGACGCTTTCGATCCACACACGCAAGTTATTACTAACAAACCACAAACACACACGTACCCACCCACACTTTCTCAAGTGCACAAAAATGTCCCGACATAAATCGACCAATTTTTCTATAGGTATTCAGTCTGTAATGTACACGTATACAGTTACGGCTTTCTTGTGTCCAAAAGTGGAGCCCTGCAAGGTGAGAAAATACAATTTTTGGATTAGGCCTACTTGACCTCAAAGGTCAAACTCCAACTCTGTGAAGATTTTCTTTTGTCTGCCAGCAGTGGCTGGGCTCAACTTGAATGCAACTTCGGAACGAGGGAGCAAAGTTGAAACATTTGATTAACACGTACACACACGGCGAAGTATTTCAAGAGAGTGTGCATACAGTCATGTAAAGCAAACAGAATCCACAGTCTGCATATTCCAACATGATTTCATAGAAATATGATTACTTACTGGGATTGGCTAACACCGTGTACATGTACAGTACGTAGCGATTTACTCGGTGTTTTAAAGAAGAAAAATCGTCAAGATTCACATTTTCTGGACCCAGGGGAACTGCATATTCTCGTACATGGGAATACACAAAGACAAAATGCCAAACCACAACACGTTCTACATTAAATCTCTCATCTTTCAAATAAATCTTACATCTTTCAAATAAATGTCATTATTTACCCACTACGTCAGTGGGTGCAACCATTGATCATGCACCTGTATTCTAGTGTCGATGGAAAATTTAAAGGAAATTTCAGATGCAAAATTTTGGTGTTGAGATCAGAAGATAATGATCATTTATAGAAAGTAGGAAGTTCATGAATACTGAAAACAGACGCTACACCGTTTGAATGTTTTTTACCAGACCGATTACCATACCATTTGAAACACCGAGCAGAATTCACAGTCATGATGCATTAATGCTTGTGCAAAATTGTTATATCAAGAATTCACGGAAATGGATTTCTTCATGTTCACTGCTCAAAGAACTTGCCAAATTCATGTACATGTACAAATGTGTGAGCTGTGCGTCAGACTTTTCCCTTGATCAAGATTCAAGCAAACAAGGAAATCACACCATAAGCACATTAAAAAATAATTAACAATGTGCTATCTCATGTTTTTTTAGCAAAGCAAAAAACCGGGAACGATCCTTAGGGAATACTGTCAAGGTAACGAGTGCCCGTTGCCCAGGTAACGATGTGGATGTTAATTTACTAGTGACAGTGCTTTGATTTCACGGGCAACTGCCACAATCGGTTTCCATGTGTACACAGGTTATGCAAATTATCTGCTGTGTTCCCTTCTGAGAGTGGATTTTGCACAGGGGAAAGAAATGAATAGTTGGGTGCAGGTTTAACGTTTGACACACAACACAGCATTTAAAATTATTCTAAACCTGCCTCTTATTTTCAAGATTAACACAAAAGTCTTTGTTACACGCCAAACCCGGTATCCAATGAAATGCAGGAGTTGAACACTAAGCCAAGATATGCATGTATGCTTTGAAGATATGCACCTTTACAGTTCCATAAAATTCAGATGTTTTGTTACCCAAAACCACGACAATGCTATGAGAAACTGCGAGAAATCCTGACCACTTGGATTAATCCATTGGGTATGGCTATCGGCAAAAAATGTGAAGGATACCGAAGTTCTCTTTTTTTGTGATTAACGACCCAATATATGCCTTGAACTGTGTGGCCCTGTGAATGTTTGAGCCCGAAAACCTTCACCTAAGTTTGTACTGGAAATCCAAGGATACTCTCGCTTCATAAAACAATGGCACAACATTTTCCTTACTTTGTCAAATTTGCGCTTCTACAATTAAAAGAACTATACTGTCCAATTGTATCCATGAATATCTGCCTAGACCTTTGGGCAATTACTTCTGGTATACTTGAGGTATTGTGCATTTGTGTGGCCCAGACAATGGCACGTCTATAAACAGGGAACAATACATTTCAGATATTGTGTGTGGGACACAATGCTACTGGACTGTGAAAAACGACCACAGTGTGTACGGCGGAATATACATGTACATGTACGTTCATGTACATACATGTACATGACACATGAACACCTTGTCAAAAATCAGTGGTGACTAACTTGTTGAATTCTCAACTTTTAAATACTCTGTGTCCCTGAATCACCATGCTGCCACTTTGGGGAAAAAATGAAGATATACATGTACTCTGTTAAACCACTTCACTGTTTGTTCTGTGTAGGCTTTGCCATCATGGTAAATGCACATTTCACAAGCACAGGGCCGATCTGGCTCAAACATCAGCTCACTTTGTGTCCTTTAAAGGTGAATCCACGCTATTTGTGTGTGTCTACTTAAATTTTTGAAAAATCTTAAAATGCTTGATTAAAAATCTAACTGGGAATGTTTTGTTGTCACCGAAAAACAAAGCCAAATTGCAAATGGCCAAACAAAGAATGCCTTACATTTTACTCTCGGATAAGGAATCAGGTAGAAACTGCACATAAAAATATATTCATATCTACAAAGTTTATACATTTTGTACACAATTTTTATACAGCTGTGGAGAAAATTCTATGTATGGCATTCTCTGTTTGACTTGTAAGACACACATTTTTTGAATGGCACAATCTTTCATTCAAGACAAGATTTTGTCTGCAACTTAAAAGCAAAACCATAAAAAAAATGGTTAAAACCTTCATGGTGGTAGTATTGAACATTTAAAACGAATGAAAACAGCGATAAGATCAGGAGTTAAAAATCTATTAGTATTTGTCATGTCCTGAATAAAAATGCAAAGCCACTAAAAACCCTTGTTCCTGAAACAGAACGAGATAGAATACTGGAAATTCAGTACACAACATTCATCCTCCAGCTAAAAAAATTATTTCCCTAAAAGATTTTTCAGATAACACACACTTCAATGAAAACTCTAGGCAGTTTGTCTTTGGTAAAAGATAGTCTGCCATGAAAGAACACACTTTGCTTATTATGTGCAATGTGCTACATTCGTCGGTGTCCACATTAAATCTGTGCCTATTTCTATGTGACGATCTTGGGTAGGACTGTACGTGTGGTTTGGTCTGCAGCCTGACGTGTCTTCGCGCTCATATTCTGCCCTGTCGGGGGAAGCTTGGCAACTGATGAGCCGTGCCTCTTGTGCTTGGCAGAGGTCGAATCGGTCGTAGGTGGTTTAGGCAGCCTCCGGCGCAGCCAAGCATGGCGTAATGCCTGGCTGGGTGTCATGCGGCTCTGGGGATCCCAATCCAGACATCTCTTGAGGAAATCAATGAAGTGGGGATCATCACAACCCTTGAGGGCCTTGACAAGATCCTTGCTTCCCGGCGGACCACGAACCTTGCCTCTTCTCGATCTGCCACCATTGAGAACAGTTGTGCCATCCGGTAAAGTAGTGACAGTACAATAGCGTGGGTGACCCTTGGAGTTGATGAAGTTTTTGGCCCGTTTGGATTGCTCGATCAGCCTCTGCGGAGGCATGCCTAGGAGTTCTATCATGGTGGCCAGTTGATCTCCTTCATCTTCTCCTGGAAGGAGAGGGTAGCCCGTGAGCAGCTCGGCCAAGATGCATCCCAGACTCCACATGTCAATGGGCATGCCGTATCGGGCACCTAGGATGACTTCTGGAGCTCTGTAGAAGCGACTCTGGATGTAGGTGTAAATGCGTTGATGTTCATAGCAGCTCGATCCAAAGTCGATCACTTTGATGCCACTGCGTCCCTGCTGCTTAAGCAAGATGTTCTCTGGTTTCATGTCACAGTGGATGATGCGATTCCGATGGAGGGCATCGAGACACTGCAACAACGAGTGTGCAAATTTCCGCACCAACTGCAGGCTGAATCCCTGAAATTTGTTCTTTTTGATCAACTCATAGAGATTCATACTGAGCAACTCAAAGCTTATGCATATATGGTTGCGGAAGGTGAAGCTGTCGATCATGTGGATGATGTTCATGTTATTGTCTTTGTCCTGTTTCTTAAGGTGCTCCAAGATGCGGATCTCTTCCTGTGCTTGACGATGGAATCGTTTCTCATTGCGAACCATCTTGATGGCTACGTGCTGGTTGGTTTTGTGGTCATACACCTTGACCACCTGACCAAAACTTCCTTTGCCAAGAATCTTCAAAACTTCATATCTGTACGCAACATGGTCATGCTGGACGTGAATGTACGACCCCTGGTCATCGTCATATCCACAGTTATTTGCCCCTCCAATGACTCCTTGTCGTTTCTTTGCATTTGGTCCAACGAAATAAATCTGTGGCGTGTTGAAGATTTCATGGTGTTCGTAGGAAGTGAGTTTGTGCATGTACATTTTCATAGCCTCTTCGGGTGTCATGGGCAGTGAGCGATGCTTTGCAGAGTTGCTTTTGGAGTCCGTGCTGTTGTCACTGGATGGTCGACGGGCGTCGTGGGTATGATTTGCCACGACACCATTGGCAACAACTGTTCCCTTTACAGCTACCTGGCCGTGCTGGCGTTTGTAATTGTGATTATCGTCCGGTTCAAACAACTGTTGAACCTGGATCCCGTTTGGAATGTTCTCGCTGGGTTTCTGCACTTTCGAACCACCGATGGTGTGGCTCTTGATCGGCGGCAATTCAACATGTTGTGCATGGTTTACGTTACCTACAGTCCGTGCCGCGTTATCGGTGAGATGTGCTGGGTACAGCGGTTCGCCAGTCGTTAGCGATCGTGTTCGCGATGCTCCCTGTAAATTCACATTCGGCTTTCTCGAAATCGAGTAGGTATCCACCATCGTTGCATCAATCATGTTTTGCTTGGACATGAAGTACACCTTGATTATTCGTTAAAGATACCGATATCCACCATTTCAAAATACATCAGCTTGAGTTTAGGATGGTCATTTCCAAGCTTCTTTCAAATCACGGATCCAAAATGGCAGCCGTGTGTGATGGCATTATGCAGAGACTGTGTGTGGCGCTAATGCATGCACTCTGACTATGCACTGTACATGTACACACTGAGGAATTTGCCTGGGTTTCTATGGATACACGCAGGCTGTTCTCTTGTTTACAACGTCATTCAACTGACGTCGCCAGCCAACAGATATCACGTGCTTATAATAAGCCAATTAACGAAAAGCAACGATTCATATGCAAATTTATGGAGCTGTAAACTTTTATTGTCTGCTCATACATGTTGTGTCTATGATGCATAGCTCCTGTATGCAGCTTGCAGAATGGCTGGGTATTATAGTCATCACTGAGCAATCCAAACGGCATGAATCATTTTTATATCTGGTCCCACCCCACTGAAAAATCACCCAACTACTGGCAAATTAATTATAAAATCGCTGAAGACGTAATGACCGAGTGTATGCACACTATAGAGCTATATATAATAACACACCATAGACCTGGAGGAGAAAAAAACAACTCCTCCAGGTCTATGAAAACACTAGAACAAAACTGATGGAGTAGAAAATAAGGTCTATGCATTGTTTCTTGTCAATCAGGATTTGAAGGAAAAAAATCTTTAAGATGTTAAAAAAATGTGGGGGAAAAACCTGAATTGTAATAAACAACCCGATTTTCGGATGACCACCACAGTTAAAAAGGTTTTTGATTATTTGATAGAATGATCATCTCAAAATCAATTTTGAAACAAGTAATCTAGTTCCGTTTATTAACTATGAGTTAAAGAAAAATGGATTTATTTCAATGTGACACTTCTCTGCTCTGCTGACGAACAGGTACGTTGACTTACAATACTCTCACTTAAGCTCTGAGTGACCGTGGGTGTCGCCAAGGGGTGGCAAAGACACCTGTTCCTCTCCCGGCCCCAATTTTTTTTAAGTAGAAAAACATGGGGAAGGGAAAGCAAAAGAAATGGGGGGAAAGATATGACATGGGTAAAACTCACAAAATAATTTACTTGAAAAAATTTGGCTCCCTTGTTAATTTTTTTTAGCAATGTTTAGCTGATAAGTGCTTCCCCTCCCCCGGAATTGTTCCTGCTGGACGTCTCTATGAGTGATACAGCAGACGGGCGGGAACCTACGTAGTACCGAGAAAACAACAGTGACTAGTTTTAATGAAAAATGACTTTTTATATTATCTTTTTCAAAAATGAAACTGTCGCAGGTCAGATAGGGTTGATTATGCGTGTACAGTGGCCACGCAGCTCCTCTTTATGAAGGGATAATGTTTCTTAATTGACAAAGCCAGTTGAACTTCAAGATCTACATGTGGACTGACCGATTCGACAGTGTTCTGCATGGTCTCTTCCGCCCTTAACATGGAAAGATTTGCGAATGTATTCTCTATGTTTTCATCTTCTTCTCATTGTCTCCTCTCTGTAGGTTTCTTCAGGCTTTCGAGCTGCAGTGCCCAGGGCACTTTTTGAGGAATCGTTGGTCTCATTACCAGAAAGAGTTAAAGTAGATAAATAAAAATAAGTAAGTGACAAAAATAGCGCCGCCTGAAAGCAATGCGAGTTTCACTGGAAATTCAAGACAATAACCATTCAGACAATTTTCTTTTCAATTTGACAGGTGTTTACAGTAGCATTTTTTAAAATCCTGCTCTCCTAAATCACCAGCAGACGGCCCTGCCACTGTTCATAATGAAATTGCGTCCTCATTTCATCTGAATGCTGCATCTGTAGAGCTATATTAAATTACTAGAGCGCTTGAACTTCTCATTCTCCGCGCAGAGTAAATTTGACGCTGTCCTGGGCGCCGACATTTTGAATCCATCATGCGTATGCGTAGAACATTCGAAATCAGACAGAATGAATACACAGAATTATGTAGGCCTACTCTAGGCCTAAATGCAACGAGCAAATCTAACTGCTAATCTGATTTTAAAAGTCACGGCAAATTATCTCCAGCGCATACGCGCACGCGTTTGCGTTGTTTATACGCAGAGAATGAAACCCTCATTCACTGATTGTGCGTTAGTTTTTTACGCATTGGCTTTGTTGACGTATCGTTTTAGAATACAGACGCAGATGTGCAAATAGCCGTACAACAGTACAAAATTGTGAGTTATGGTTTTCCATAGGTTTGTGCACAAACTCATCACTTATGAGTTAGCGCTCCAGTTTGCGCCACTGTTCATACAAAGCACTACAAATGAACAAAAGCCACAGACGTATAAACCACATACATTAAACGCTAACCCACCAATCTTGCGCGTATAACCGTGATTTTAAAAGTGTGGGCAAGCAGTGGGCGAAATGATGGACGGCAGCGCGTTCAGTGCGAATTTGACGCAATTAGATTGCATGTATTTGTTTACGTGTGCTCTAAAAATACGTTCCCCTTTTTACTTTTTGGGTTTATGCCGGTTGCAGGCCAGTAAATAGATCCAAAACTTGCCTGCGTGGAACGAATCACGATTTGTAGCTGTCAAATTCTTTCATTCATTATTCATCCATGAGTTTGTTTCATTCTTATCGTGATCTATCAAGCCAAATTACAAGAAAGTAACAATATATTCTAATTAAAATTCATTCAAAATACATTAAAGGTACATATTGAAAAAAGTAAGCACAAAAAAATTTATCACTAATCGTAATTATTATAATTATTAAAACTAATAAACAATTAAACGCATAAAATAGATCAAACCTGCCTCAGCGGGTTGAACTATGTTTCGTTTCTCTATCGTAGAATGAATTCCGTAGGCCAAGAAGGCCTGTGCGGATTCGAAATTTATATAAAATGGAATGGGGCTATTCTTAAAACGGTTAGTTCTCTACAGGGTAGCAATGAAATAGAATGAAATTTACGCGACCTACCATGAATATTTTACCTTAAAGGAAGAATAAGGTTATCGGTATCTGTTTACACTTAAACAAAGACTCAGCAAAATAGTTTACAACAATGTACCTACCGACGGTACAGCAAGGTTTCAGTTCTCTGCTATTAGAGCCTTTCGTGGCACGTAGACTGGGAGGTTTATTAAAAAGGTGAATGAAATTCAGGGGCAGGACTACCAGCATGTATTCCTGAAAGTATTGGACCAAACGGGGTCCTCTAAATTGCTCTGTTTTGCAATGGAGTGTTGGCATCAACTTTCAAAATGGCGGTGGGCCTCATTACTGTTTTGAGGGGTGTTTTTTTCGGAGAGAAATATCTTCAAAAGTCATCGGTTAAGCCACTGAAACTTGAAAGGAAAGTGAAAGATGAGGAATTAAGCTTTAACTTGATATGTGTCTTGAACACCCGTGAACCTTGTGAGTATTTTTCCTGATTTTTTGAAGTAGGGATATTTATCACTTGTCTATCGCAGCTTATTTACTGGTCTGTACGCATTATGTCTGTGGTATAAACACAAAGATGGAGATGAAATAGCGCCCCCTGATGACGCTCAGGCGTTAGATACGAATCTTGTTTTTGCTGGAAATTCACAGGTTTTGACCACGACGGCAATATTTGTTTCGATTTCGCAAGTGTTTGCCGATGCACTATTCAAAAAATCTCGCCCACCTCTGAAATCCCCAGTGCATGTTTCTCACATACGTCAATTTGAAAAAATAATTCGGATTCAGCGTGCTGTCACCCACCGGGCAAGTTGATGCAACCATGATGCAACCACGTTCGCTTGGCTGCGTACTGTTAGTACCCGGCGCGGGTCGACCACGTGCTTGTCTGCGACATCCCATTAGTGCCATCGCTATTTACGAGAGCAGCTTTTATTTTTAAGTTTTGACAAGTTTTGGTCGCGGTCCACGCCTTAGTTTATGTGCATGATAGCGGAAAAGTCGACAAGCATAGTCCACAGCGCCATTTTACAAAATAGAACGAGCAGTCTATTTTAAGTAACTTTGGTGTAACTTTTTAAAGAGAAATAATTATATTTTTGGAGCAGCAACTTATTTCAAGAGCACTGTATTTTCAGGAGTAACTTTTAAGAGCAGCTTTTTATATTTGATATTTAACCGCTCTTGAAAACACAAATACATTGCAGGATCCAAGATCTGGTTTTCCCAGGGGGGGGGGTGATCCCAGATTTTCCAAAAGGGCGGCGTGGGTGTGAACTAAAGGAGTATTGGTAAAATGTCCGTTCAGCGTGGGGTCTGGAGGCATTTTGTATTCTAGGAGCTCTGCGTTGCAGTTCCGAGCAGTGCAACAGGCTGGGTCTGTCAAGTTCATAATGAATAGATTTCACCTTCTGTCTTCTTTGTTGTAAAATGTTTGTTCAGAAAATTTGATATCCCCGTCCTGAATTATCTCACTCCCAGTGCCCGATACCTTGACTAGACCGTTTTGTCAAGTGCAATCACAAACCAATGCTTTCATACGAATCATTATTTGTTCGATTTCCTCGTTTGTGGGACAGCCTTAATCTTTCAGTGAGACTCATAACAGTGCAAGGCATGTTCGGCGTTACCGCTTTCTTGAACAACCTACGTAATCATTATCTTAATGGTTAATTTTTTAAATGTAATTTGTATTAGATTGTTTAAAGGGAGTGGGTTCCTACTTGTTTTTAATCCTGTGTTTAGGCTTATATTTTTAATTTTTGATTAGTCGGGGTTGTACCCCATTGTTTCAGGGGGAGTTCACGTTTTGTAGATTTCATTGGGGGTTTAATGTTGGATTATCCAAATTTGAGATTTTACGTGACGCCGTGTGGAATTATTTAGGGATTTAGAATTTTATTGAAATTTGTGTATTTTTGTGTAATTAGCGCAGTGTACATATCCTATTACTAAATGAGGAATAAGTTTATTATCTATACCTGTATCAGTTATTTTTTTTTATTTCGCGATATTGATATTACATGTTTATTGTTTTAATGAGCAGCTGATAATCAGTGTCCTGTTTATTCCCGTTAATGTCCACGTTATTTATTGTCTTTTTTATAGCATCTTAGGAGAGCCTCACGATGATAAGTTTGCTTCTTGGCAATCTCTCAGGGGTGTTACCAGTTTGTACTGTGTATTTTGTAATTTTCCATGTCCTGTTTTATACTTGTTGTCTTCGTCCTGATACATGTACCTTAGAGCTGATAAATGAAAAATGAACATACGCACACGAGTTTGCGTAACTCATGCTTAGCTTTCCTCAAATACTGTTGTTTCGCGGGAAATCACCTGCACTGCTCACTCAATGTCCGTAGAACCTGTTGCGTTATTTCGCAAAGCTATTACGTTATTTCCCGAACTGATTGCGTTATTTCGCAAACTTATTGCGTTAATTCGCAACTGTTGCGCTATTTCAATTTCGCAATAAAAATTTTTTTGGCCAAGTTAAATTGGCGTTAACGGGCTTCCGTACTTAGAACCCATCAAAATAGTATGGTACTTTTCACTTTTTACGTAGGCCTATTGCATCATCATAGATTTTTGCGTGGCTGACATGTCACGTATGTACGTACAGTACATGTACACATGTGCGTGCATCTGCAGCTCAAGTGCCAACTGCAACTGCCTGAAACATTACTGCCGCGCTGCAATTATGTCGATCCGCGGTGATTTAGTAGGCCTGTTTACCAGTATCGGACTGAGCGAACAGAAAGCCAAGGAAACGTTGAAGAACGAGTCATTAGCCAATGACTTAGTACAAGTAATTTGCGAGGTAGGCCTGGGCTCCTTGGCGTGACTTTGTCATGTTTGGTTCGGCGGATGTACATTGTCAGATTGTCTCATGTCATAATCACAATCTTTCAAGTATGCTGATCATGACTAGTGACGACCACTGATGTGACCGTCTAAAGCCTAAAGCATAAAGGGTCTTGCTATTTAGCGTCAAAGAGTGTCAACTTGCAACAAAGCGTTAATGAGTTATAAAAGCATATTTATGCAAATATTTGCAATATTTAAGTGCATTGTAGGCTCCTACATACATATATCTTATTGTGGAAATTTTAGTGACAAAGTCGGGCCTGCTCGTGCTCGTGTAACTGCTTCTCATTGACATTGTCTCCTCTCTACAGGTTTTTTCAGGCTGCACTTGCAACTTATAGTGCCATGCTAGGGCACTTTTAAGGAATTACCAGAAATAAATAAATGATAATAATGTGCAGCCCAACCGGCTGCCATCCTGTTTTCGCGTGGGCGGCAGAGAAAAGAACAATGGCGGCCTCCATATGTCACGAAAAAAATGTGTTATCCTGCGAGAATCTGGAATCGAATTTGCTGTTTTTTCACTTAGTGGCGCATGTTAGAGTTTTTTAAATATGATAAAGCCACTTTTATTTTAATTTAAAAATCTTTGGACATTTCCAAGTGGTTCATGCTTTGTTTGTGCTGCTCCTGTGTGTTGACGCTAAAGAGCACGACTGCATGCTTAAGGAGGGGCTGCATGGAGCGCCCTCACAGAGGAAATGTTTGTTATAAATTGAGATTTATATGACAAAAAAGATTTACGAAGTACTATAAGGTCAACTTAAACATATCACACAGAAACACAGCTGGGCATTGTGTATTTGGAGACCCTTTTCCTATAACAGAGCAGAGAATTACATTTTAAATTTTGGACCCACCTTGGCAGATGATGGTGACCTCATGTTGAATAGCTGCAGGCTTAAGTTTGTGGAAAGAGGGGGTGTCGGACAACTCGACCATTTGCCAACTTGGTTCAGGACAGCTCAACCTTTGAGACAACTTGACCAGTGGGACAATTCAATTCAATTTACCAAGTCGTCCGTTAGGACAACTAGACCGTTCAATGCTTGTACATGTTGGAGTTTAAGGCGTTCATCAGGGAGTGTGCACAGATTATGTGTTTATGCGTGTCTCATTATTCGTTGCGATTCGACTCGCTGAGCATAGCTTGCATAGGGACTTGGCAACACAGCATGCACTGGACTAGTGGACAGCGCGCATCGGCTACCCTAACCAGCGTGGTATGTGGTCACAACGGCGATGTGACCTGCTATGTGGCGTGACCTACGTCAGTGGTGCACAGGTGCCTCTGCTGCACCAGTGACCAGTTGCTCGTCTGCTGGTGTGAGAGACAGTGAATCTGTCCCCAGTCCTTTTCCCATTTTAATTTGAAGAAAAGGTGTGGGTGATGTAAGTGACTAGAAGGCACAAGCGCACACATTACGAGTCAACTTGTCTCAGTTGATTTGTCTCGCCGGTCGAGTCAAGTTGTCCCTACCGGTCGCATTATATCAACGGTCGAGTTGTTGCAAGTTGAGTTGCAAACGGTCAAGTTGTCCGAGCCCTGAAAGAGGACTGGGTTCAGATTTTTAAGAGCAATTGTGGAGTAAAACGTTTCAGTATAAAATATTCAGTGTACAAATGACACGTGTAGGAATAACTTTCAAATGGTTGGTTATCAGTCAAAAACTCGGATTTTCTTACAATTTACTATTCTAAATTCACAAAACACAGTGCCTTTGGTTGCACGCTTTAAGGGACAGACCTGTTGTGTAAGAATAATAAAAATGGGAGAGTCCTGACTCCTGAAGTACAAATTCCAAAAAAAACTTGGAGGGGAAAATAAATCCCCCATCACCCATTCCCCACCCCCATGCTTTACACCCATGAGTTTAAACCATAACAAATTTTGAGGGAAAGATCAAAGCAATCCGTATTAGACCATCACAAATCCTGAGGATCTTCAACATAATTTAGGCAGTAAAATCTATTCCTTTAAACATCTTCCCCTCTCACAATGTTCAGCGCAGTTGGAAAAGGTCGCCGTCTGTCAATCTTTTACAAACACTCTGTTGGATGTTCCATTTTGCGTATCAGCCGAATTTGGCAGAATGTTCACCCTAACCCACATTGGCATCTGCATTTGTCTCAAAATGTTTCCTGTATTATTCCTCAAGATGGAGGTATTTCCGTTGAGTATTTATGAGTAGTGAATGTTTTTACAGAGTTTGTGTGAGATTTTTGTAATACTTTGTTTATCAATTTTCTTTTACTGAAAGCCAGCCATAGGTAAAATTTATGGCTGTGACCTAGGCAAGTGACAGGAGACGAGTCTGTAAGTTGGGATCAAGTAAAACCTTTTGAAATGCATCCATAATTTTCTACTTATCCAAAGTTGTACTCTTTCTTGCCCATCATTCACAAAGATCGTCATCCTTCATTCTGCATGCAGGCAAAGAAGTACAATGGTGGGCGTGCCATCGATAAGGCATGTGGTATGCTGCTGTATCACGTAGCGACGAGGTTGAAGAACAAACGCCGTCTGGGCTTCCTCCTGCAGTACATCATTTCGAAGAGGTTGAGCTCGGAACCTCAGTTAACGGGTGAGTCCTCCTTTCTTGAAGAGATCATTTCACATACAGCCGCAAGATAATATATCAAGTACTTGTATTGTTCGAGCAAGTTTTCATGCAGTGCAGCTAGACTATGTAAGGTGTCACTGTTCTCTGTCATCAGAAATATCTGTGCCACAGAATCAGAGTGGATTAGCTCTCCCTTCAGCTGAGAGCACTTTCCAACTTGCACAATGTAATGATGAGGTCTTTACTTTGTTAGCTATTAGGAGAGGACAAGCACCTACATAACAAACTCAGACAAACTCTCCTCGTTCTTCAGATGACCAAAGTCTCCAAACACCAAACATTTTCAAGCCACAAAGTACCCTCACAGTCCGCACGCCACTATGGGTATTGGTGTGGGACCTTTGTACGTTTTGGAACAGTCCCCCAGCACTGCAGGCAATTGTTTTGCTGGATACTCTGCAACAACTATTAACCCTTAATGGTCTTGCAGACAGTAGCAGTGGCATTGATTCCATCATTGCTGAGGACTTTCTCTGTCATTCAGTCCTCTGTTTATTAGTGATCATGTGCCCAGGTTTGCTGGTAGGGCCTGAATCTTCACTAATCGTGACTCTCAAACCATTTTGTGCGATGCTTTCCACTGGCAGCTGCACTTGATTTCTTCAAGTCGCACCCGACTGATCCGATCGATGTAAAAGCATTTGAGGTGGCATGCGGCATTGGCGTCGAGGTCACTCCTGAACAGATTGAAGAGGCCGTAAGTCGGTTGTTCTCTGTTTCTTGTTTGAAAGTGTTTCGATACAGATTTCGCCATCGAGCACGTATTGACCACTTGTTGATTCACATGGAGATGTGCACAGGCATGCGTACCGAGTTCGGGAAAGTTTGTCCAATCCCATATTTTCACTGTGATAAGCCGTGTCGTTGATCTCTGCAGGTGGAAGTGGTGATACTAAAGCACTCGGCAGGCTTGCTGGAGAAGAGATACCATTACAACATGGGAAGCATCATGGGTAAGCCAGTGCAGGAGAAGTTGTTCCTCCTGTTGTGTTTTCACTATTTTTACAGTAAAATGTGGACTTGGAGTAAATATTGTTGCTGCATCAGAGAGGATTATGTAAGCTGTCTTTTCTATTCCATAGGTTAGCACCTGTAAGGCTTTAAAACGACTGACTGGAGACGGGTATTTAAGCACAGGACTTGGGCAATAAGCATCCTTGGGTATTTGTTAGGTGTATATTCACAAGATTGACAAGTTGGACAAATTGATGAATAGTTGAGTACCATTCTTGCCGTTTGAAGACTCTGCGTATTTTGACTCATCCAGACGAAAATTGATCACACATCTGCACAAAATGTGTGCAGCCTGTGCATCTGGGCATCTTGGGGAGGAGGTTCATTTCCACGGTAAAGTAGAAATTGGTCACACTGTTAGTGACATCATTAGTTGTAATTCATACGCAAATACTGGTTTTCCAAAAATAAAGAGTAGAAAAACAAGTAACTGCTTATTGCGTCCACATTTAGTTATGAAAAATTTCATTTTGTTCCTGAATGCCATACTTATAAATACAAATGATGAGGTCGGTAAAACTATGACCAATTTTCCACTTGTATATGGAATCACCCGTAGACCGATTGCACAGAGCTGCTAAGCTCACACTTTGCCTGGTGCAGAGAACTTTTGCTTAACAAAAATTGGTTACCGGCCAGAAAGTTGTGATATGTATACTGGTTGTCCCTGGTGTTCTGCCCCCCCCTGCTCAACACATTGATTGACTGAGCAAAATTTTTTCCACAGAGCAGCACTGTGATAATGGGCCCTGGCGAGTTGGCAATGAAGGCCCATCTCTCCGGGTCCAACACAGAGTCCCTGCACAAATTCCTAGTTTTAGGGATAATGCAGTATCATATCCGGCCTTGTCTTTTCAGGGGAAGTTCGTCAGGTGCTGAAGTGGGCAGACGGGAAGGCCATTAAGAATGAATTGGACATGCAGGTGCTGGATCTGCTTGGTCCCAAGACAGATGCAGACAGAGAGAAACCAACCAAGACGAAGGTAGTTACCGGATAACCCACCAAAAAAAAGATTGGTACCATGGACTCCATCATAAGTCAGGATGTGTCGCTCATTTATTTACAATGTGCCTTAGGAAGAATGTTGTTTCTCAAGATTTGAGTGTGTCATCTTATTGCCGAGCTTGAAACCCTAGAAAATTGAGACATGCTGTCAGTAAATCCATATTTATTATGCAGGATTTGTGTCAGTCCCTGTAATTCTGTTTCGAATTTAATTTCAGAAGCCATTCTGCTGATTGCCACATATGAAAAAGATGACAAGTTAACAAAAGTCACATAAATGATTGTAAAATGGCATGACTGAGGTAATTGGGCATTCATGATGCAGCCTGTCACGAATTTGGAGATCTGTTATGTTTAACGGAATATAATGTTGTTCACTTTTAGGAGCCAAAGGCAAAAGGCAAGACGAAGGAGGAACAGAAGAAATCTGAACCGGAGAAGGAGTTGGAGTCCCCTGCAGAAGGCGGAGCCGAAAACATCAACCAACTGATGGGGGAGGCTGTGAAATTTCATAAACCAGGTAAGCACTAGCATTTGAAAAGTTAAAGTGTGACTCAAACCGGTGGAGTGCTTGGATGTCCAATTATAAGGCATACACAAACTCATGATGCACTCTTATGTATTCAGCCACAAGTCTTCGCCAGTCCATCACAGGTCATCCAGTCTTAGGGCAAGTCACAGGTTATTCAAATGAGCCAAAGGTGTTGTTATAAAGTCGCAAATGCTTTATAATGTCTGAAACAAAGTAAGTGCTCCGATGTGCAATCATTCAGTCAGTCGCAACTGCTCAGTGCTAAGGTATCCAATGATAAGTCATGTCTGTTTGTGCATCACTTGATGACTGACATACTTGGATGTCAAATATGAAGTCACATGTGACCGGCTCCACAAAATGGGTATTATGGGACTTTTTTCAAAATGAGTTGCATACACATTAATTAATTACATTATAAGCTTAAACTTGGTGTAGGTTTGAACCCTGTGGTGTTTTACAATCTGAACATACGCAGGTTTTTGCATAATCATATCATACACATCAACAGAAGCACTTTCTGAGATAAAGCCCTTCAAACACAGGAAGTGGAAAAAGAATCAGCCAAGAAAAAAGTCTCTTGAATATCCATAGCAACAGTTTCTTGTATGAATTATGAAGGTATTGATATGAGAGAAGCCAATAAACCAACAAGTAAAAAATCACCCTTTCGGCATAGAAAAGCCCTTAGCAAGAAATAGCACGGCGTCCCTTAATATCCTTTTTTCAGAGCTGGTCACATATACCAGGTTGTCAATTTTTAAGCGACATAAGCTAGGATGTCAGAGGTCAAGTCATAACATGTATATACTAAGAGGTCCAGTACATAAACCAGCGAAGTGCCAAAGTGTTAAATTTGAAGTCTTATTATGAACCAGTAAAGTGCTTGCATTTCAAATTGTAGTTAGCCAGGTGCAGTTTTCAACCCCTTAATGCCAGGATTCTTTTGACCGTGTGACTGCTGGGCTGTGGTATGCCCAGTATGCAAAGCTCTGTCCAGCAGCAGGCCCCATTGAACCAGCAGCTGCATGGTAATAGACTGTATGTGTGGTATGCACTAATCCACACACAAACCCGCGTCTGTCGATGGTTCCTGGCGCGAAGGGGTTAAGGTTACAAAACTGTTCTTTATCTTCGTCATCCTACAGGAGAGAACTATAAAACTGATGGCTATGTTGTCACCCCTAAAACCATGGAAATACTGAAGCAACACCTGCAATTCACAGGTGGTCAGGTGTGTCAGGCCTTTTTCTTCAGATACTGTCAAATAATTATGGAGAAGTCAGTTGGATTGAACCGATTTATTTAGCAGCTGAGCTATCAGTCAGCGTAGTTGATCTGTGAATCCAGTGATTGATCGAAATTTGTACTATTGTAAAGAAGGATTGCTTCTCTTATAAAGGCAGAAATTGTTTTACTCAATGATTCCGTGTTGTGACATTGGAATTTGGTTTCCCTTTTTAGGTGCGGACGCGTTTCCCCCCAGAACCAAATGGAATTCTCCACATTGGCCACGCAAAGGCCATCAACTTCAATTTTGGCTATGCAAGGGTGAGACATTGTTTTACACTCGAGGCCTAACAAACAGATTTGAAAGGTTTTGAAAGGTCAGACAACTCACTCACAGATGACTGAACAAGTCGGGTCATAAGCACTGAAACGAGGGAATAGGATGATGCCTGAGAATAAAATTGGAACGTGAGACTGGATGTCTTGTGATAGACTTGGTGATGGCTTGATTGTGAATCTTGGTGCAGTGTGTGTTCCTGATTTAGCTGTTTCGTCCGGTCGAAGAGATTCGTTATTATTGTTATTATATTTCTGGTAATGACACAGGATTCCTCAAAAGTGCCTTGGCACTGTAGCTCGCAAGCCTGAAGAAACCTGTAGAAAGGGAGACAATGAGAAGCAGTTACAGTTTTTTTAGAGGTGGGAGGAAGACCCCAGAGGAATATTCTGGGTAAAACCCACGGAATCTTAGGTAGGGACTGAAAATCCAATCCACATGTGGACCGGGCCGGGATTCGAACCCGGGCCTCAGAGTTGGAAGGCAAGGAAAGAACTGCTATGCCAACTTGACTCCCCTTTGCAGTTTGAAACTCCACATGGCATGGGTAGGGCCAGCTAACTGAAGTCCGCTAGTGTAATGTAACTGCATTTTTTAAAGCTACATTTCAGGAAATGTTGGTTCACGGTGTTGATGATTTTTTTAAAATTAATCTGGAACTATTTTCAATCCTGGAATCACCTTTTCTGTGTTCTACTAACTTGCAGTTTTATGTTGCCTGACAAGTCAGTTCTTTGAGGCTTTTTTGATTTGCTCTTCTGTGTCTCCTTAAATATTCCGCAGGGCAAAAAACCAGTAACCCTGCGTTTGTGCTTAAACATTCACAGGGCATCCAGTCCTGTGCAAAGCAGTAGTGGCTGGGTACTGCCTGCCACAATCCTACAAAATCCTTTAAAACCTGCTGATAGAGTTTGCAGGATCCAGGAGGGTCACTACGCCCTTCTTGCAACAAAGGAAAAACAGGTGGCATTCATGCGTCATGACTTCGTTTTATTTCTTGTGTGGCCAATGCAGGCTCACGGTGGCATTACCTTCTTGCGGTATGACGACACCAACCCTGAGAAGGAAGAGGAGAAATTCTTCACAGCAATCCTTGATATGGTCCGATGGCTGGGCTACGAGCCGTGTGACGTCACGCACGCTTCTGATTACTTCCAAGAACTGTACGACTTGGCAGTGGATCTTATACGCAGGTGGGACCAACATATGACATCAGACACAGTTCCTTACCTTCACGTAACTCAAATACTTCGGATGGTTTTTTTCCCTAACCCTAACTCCCGTGTCTTTCCACACTCACCATGATGTTTTGGAGTAGTTTTAAATGATTTGGTGAGGTAGGGAGCAGTAACCATCACTTCACAGTTGATATCTCTGGAATGTCAAGCTTCAAACCATGTGACGTAGATTTATAGCACAATAATAGATTTTGCAGGATTGAGAAAGGGTCTTAGTGGAAAGTATATTTGGCAATAGGATTAAGCATCTATAGATCTCTCTCACGGGACGCCATCTTTGTAGGAAAATTGCAACTTCGTAGACAACGCAAACAGGTGCATGTGTGCGCAGTGTGCAAAATGTTCAAAACTCGCGCGTGTGCTGATCTAAATATGTTCGAACTACGGCGCCTGTCATGAAAATTGAAGTAAAAAACGCCGATGCACGTGGCAATCTGTAGGAAGTGACATCAGTTGAGAGACGCCTGTGAAAGTTCATTTATAAATGTTTCACCGCTTGATTTCTCGTCCAGCTTTTAAATATATTGATGTATGTATTCTTGTAACTACTTTGAGGCACTGGAGTCAAAGGGTGGGGAGTTTCCCTGCCTACTTTTTTTTCTGGGGGATTTCCTCCCCCACTTTTGTCAGGTCCTAGAATGAGGTGGGGCTTAATGGATTGGTCTATTAATAGCAAATGCCAGATGGTCACACAACTGCCCCCCCCCTCCACTTTGAAAATCGGTTCACCTCTGCTGCAATGAGGTGAGTGATGGGTAGGCGCTGACCAATAATAGGTGAGGTGAACTTCCTGTTGTGACGCACAACTTCTTTAATAGGACTGGTCTTATTTGATAAGTTCCCTGTCGACTTAAGACCTTGCCTCTTGTGGATGTCTGACATGTATCAATGTAACCAAACTTGTGCCCAATCCATGTCATTTTTGTAGGGATTTGGCATACATTTGTCACATGAGACCGGAGGAGATCAAAGGTCACAACAATCCGGATTCGCCTTGGAGGGACAGGCCCATTGAGGAATCGCTCAAGCTGTTTGATGTAAGATGTGGCTGTCAAGTGCACGTGCCATATACATTGCTTATTCTGGGAACCACCTAATGGCGACTTCATGCTTCAGGCAGATGCAAAGCGAATTTGATGACGTACAATAGTTTCAGTGAAATTCACCTGAGTTTAAATGGGTTCAACTTTTGCAAATTCAGGGGATTATTTGGTGTGATATTAGAATTTGGTATAGGGAACACATTGGCGAATGACCCCCCCCATGTTTTAAGCAAGACAAAATACTAAAGGAATTGATGGATCGAGGATTTTCCCTTTTGAGTTCTTATAAATGAAATAAGATAATAAACACGGTGTGCACAAAAAAAGTGTAAATTAATGTAAATTGATTGAAGTTCAGTAGTTCTTCTACACTGCCGACAGTCTTGACGACTGCACTTGCCAACCAGTGGTAGTAACGTGCATGCGTTTGTCTAATTTGCATATTTCATGGGAAAGGTCCATTCAGTAGCTCTGCTGAATTACCGTATTACTCACTTTGATGAAGGAGCTGATGTGACGCCAGTCATGTCAGATATTTGCCGTCACTTACATGCCCTCACCAGCTGCAGCAGGGGAACCAAGTCCATGTCTAGTCACAGTGCAAATCACTACTTGTGGTTGTTTTTGTGCAGGACATGAGACGGGGTAAGATCGCCGAAGGCGAGGCTGTCCTACGGATGAAGCACACCCTGGCAGAAGGGAAGAAAGACCCTGTGGCATATCGCATCAAGTTTACGCCTCACCACAGAACCAAAGACCAGTGGTGAGTTAATTGGCCTTAGTCACAAGTTAGCCATATTGAATTGGAAGGGAGGTTAATTTTATTTTAGTTTGGCCCCTCAGAATAAGAATGAAAACACTGAAATCAAACTTCATTAAAACTCATTGCCATTTGTGCTGATGAAGAATTTAAAATTTGTGATCAGTTATATTAGAATGTGAAATTGAGGAACCCCAAATAGTCCGGCACCACTCCATTTCACAGATTATATTGAATGAAATGGATTCTGGGAACACGATGAAAAAGGCTTCCCATGAATAAGGTCTGTTTTCAGTCTCGCTTGTTGCAGAGATTTCTAATCCTCAGGACTTTACGTTGAAAGAGGAAATAGCCAGTTACTGTCAGTTGGAACGCAGAGTGTTCATTTGCGGCTTTCTTCAATCAACATTTAGGTGTATCTACCCAACCTATGACTACACCCACTGTCTATGTGACTCACTGGAGCACATCACGCACTCCTTGTGCACTAAAGAATTCCAATCCAGGTATGTTCATTCATGCTCAAAAAAACTGAAATATCCTGTTTCAGAAAGTCTAATCACGGACACAGCAAAATGTTTCAGTGGATTTGGCTGGCAGTGTTAAATCAGATGAAAGGCTGTGTAGTGAACCAGATCCCTGTTGCTCTGTGCAATGTACATGTATATACCATACAGACTGGTTTGTATCTCCCAGTTAATTAGGCATGAGGCCTATTACTGGTTGCCTATGCACTGAATCTGTGTCACCCTGTGCAATAGGTTTATATTCAACTAATTGATACTTGTCCCTTGCATCAGACACCAGTCCATATACCAAATCTGCATTGCACTGGACATGTTTATTGCCCAGTGTAGTAGAGTTATACTGATTTGATTGCAGTTTTCCTTGAACTAGGTAACAGTCATATTACTGACTGCGCAGTGCAAAGTAGGAGTATATTTACTGGTATATATTTTCCCCTTGAACCAGGCGCCAGTCCTATTACTGGCTGTGCAATGCACTGGATCTCTACTGCCCTGTGCAGTGGGAGTATGGACGACTTAACATGAACTACTCTGTGGTATCCAAGAGGAAGATTGGCAAACTCATTGAATACGGTATTGTCAGGTGAGAATATCTACCATGTAGATCGTGTCTAAGACTAAATGTGTTACATCGACCTACTGATGCTTTGCCTAAAAAGTACTGGAAAAACTGCCGAACTTGTACAAGAGGTTAAAACTCTTCAAAGAAAAACTGTCGTAAACCATTTATAGGGCATGATGTGTAGGGGTGAAGTAAATATGACAGAAATGCTTAGATTTGTAACTACCAGGGGCCAATTTCATAGAGCTGCTTAAGCACAAAATTTGCTTAAACATGAAAAAACCTTGCTTGACAAATCAGGTTACCAGTCAAAACTCCATGTGATGTATATTGTTTAGAATGGTATTCACCTGTCTTTTGGTTAGCATGACAATCACATAGATTTTAAGCTGGTAATCTTAGTTTTTTAAGCAAGGTTTTTTACGCAAATTTTGTGTTTAAGCAGCTCTATGAAATTGGCTCCTGGTCAGTATGTAACTGTTAAATGTACTGTGTATGTTTGCATATCTGCAAATATCAAATGCATCAGATCCATGCTTTCAGTACAAAACAGTTTGTGGAATGATTGGCTCTTGAAATGTCCAAACAGATCGGTTCTCAAATTCAACCGTCCATCTATTTGAACACTCATGCACGACCTTGTTTCCGTAGAGATTGGGATGACCCGAGGCTGTTCACCTTAACGGCCCTTCGGCGTCGGGGCTGCCCGGCTGAAGCTATCAACAATTTCTGTGCCAAGGTATCTCTGGAGTTTGTCTTATCACGCTTTCAGACTGTGCCAAGGTTTTTTTCTTTCTCGTATCGTGTGCCTCCTCTCTACCAGGGCCCAATTTCTTAGCCCAACTAAGAACCGATTTCATACCAACAGAACCGCTGTCTCTTTCACAGAGACCGCTAAGCAGTAGGCCCAGCAAAAGCAAGCTTAGCCCTGGAGGAAAAGTTGCTTACGTGTAACATACAATAGCAAGCTCCGTGCCTTTGAGTGCATTAGCACACTCAAAGTGTAGGATATTACCAGCAGCAAGGCTTGTTCTTCTGCAATAGAAATTGCAACCTTGGCACAAATTGTTCAGCAGTGCAGTGAGATTGTACCCAGAATTCTAGCCAGTACTTTGAAAATGCCTTAAATGGAAAATCATGGCATCCGAGTTGCCGAGGTCTTATGCTGTTACATACATTTTGTGTGAAATGGCCTGCAGGGTGTCCAAACGATGGCCACTCCCCTCTGATTCTGTCAGATCAACAGACCAATGTCTGTGAGCAAAACCGTGCTGTGGATGAGGTAGGCACGCATCCTTCAACAAAACTGCATCCTTTTATTTCAATCAGATTGGAGTAACGATGTCACGTGTGACTTTTGACCCCTCTCTGCTTGAGTCCTGCATGAGGGAAGTGTTGAATAACTCGGCACCCAGGGCCATGGCGGTGTTGGACCCACTCAAGGTCACCATCGTGCCTGAACGAAAGGTAAAGCTATCCAGTGAAAACCCAATACAACGTGATTAATCCTCATTCCCTCGGTCGTGTTGAATGGTAAAATTGTCCTGACAGGTGTGGGGCCGTTGGGATGAAACATCTGATTTTGTCAAAGTGTTTACAGTTGTCAACAAAAAATAATCTTTGTTGTGATTGATTAAACCTAGCCCGCCAGATCCTTTGAAAATCCCCCAGAAGGGTTCAGATGGCTTTTTTTTTTAGGATTGGAGAAGGTATTATTACGAAAGTTGAACTCCAAAGAATGTGCCATTTGGTTTCTATTAAGTGGCAGATTTGGAAGGATTTGTTCCTCGCAGAAATGCTTTGATAATGCTAAAGTCTCTCTGACTTTAATATTTCTCGTCAGTTACTTTGACTTTGGTGTTGTGGTTCATTTTTTGTGGAACTCTTCTGGCAACTCTTTTTCAAAGTCTACATTTGCCTTTTGGATCGGTTTTGAAATCTAGACTGCAGAGTTTTCCATGCAGAAATTCTTGAAACAGTTTATTGCTGCACCTGAAATTTCCTTCGTTGACTGGATTGTTGGCTCGTATTTTAACCAGGTGTGGTAAATGTTATGTTTGACCTGAGAAATAAACTTTATTTGCGTGGAAGCCATTTTTGATCTTGTTCCCTGAATCTATATCAACTATATCAATCAATATAATCGGTTTATGGGCAGGAGCTGGGCAAATGGGCTGGAGCCAGGCTATTTTAGATTCCAAGTCTCACTTTGTAAGTTTCAAATGTAGCTATTATTAGGGATTCATCACCTGAAAGTGGCTTTAATTTGTACTGAATGGCTGTTTCAGCACTTTCACTTTACTCTTACATTCCCAAAATAAAAAGTTAAACCTAGCTTTCAATTTAATACGGCCGACTCATGCGTAAAGTCTATCAAGTGATGTATGTTTGTTGGTTTCAGCCCGAGTTATTGAACGTTCCAGTGATCCCTCATGACAGCAGCAAGGGAACACGGGAGATGCTCTTCACCTCGGTCGTCTACATCGAGCAGAGCGACTTCAGCGAGGTGAGCACTTAAGTTGCATAGACCAGAACCCAGACAGAATTAAACCCAAGTGAAACGTACTTCAGTTCAGTTGGATCTGGTATCAACAGGGCGATTGGCTCAGTTGACAGTGCTTTCTTGCAGTGCAAGAAACCTGAATCTTAAAACTAAATTCATTCTTGCAATATTGCAAACACACCTGCTGTGTGCAATCTCCATTGCAATCTCCATTGCTTCTTTTTACGTCAGAAACCCTGGCTCATTCTTTGCTGAATTGCTCTTTGATTAGAATCCAGAGAAGGGATATAGGCGGCTGACTCCCTCCCAGCCGGTGGGTCTGAAGTACGCTGCGCAAGTCTTGACGGTGCAGTCCATAATCAAGGACAAATCTGGTCGAGTGACGGAACTCAGGGTGACGTCCCAGCCTGTTGACATGGTGCCCAAGCCCAAAGCCTTCATTCACTGGGTCTCAGAACCCATCGAGTGTGAAGTCCGAATCTACGGCAGACTGTAAGTCTGATTATCCACATTCAGTTTTCATATGGGCTCTATCTGGAAAGCCTTTGAAATCTAGTTTTATCATCTTACTTCATGCTATCAAGTAGGACTGACACCAGAATTGTGGCATTATTTCTTACTTGTTAAATCAATCATTTGCACACGTTTCTTATGCTAACATCAAAGGATCCATTTCAGCATATATTCTTTTTAGAATACGCTAAACTTGCATTATCCATCAGAGTAAACCAATTCCACAGATTCACCAAAACCGTTATTTAGCATTGGCTCTTGTAGCCTTCTGAATTCTATGCAGAAATGGCAAGTAGACCACTCGCAAGGGTCACAAGGTGTGCTACACAAGGAGTGTCCACAGAGCTATTTTTCATCTGAATGCGCACAAAAAAACGGCATCTCAGATAGGAGCTGACTGTACTTGGGCAGTGGTACCCAAAGGTCTCCCATGTCTTTCTTCGTCCATGTTGATGGTGGTGCTTACCCATAGAGTCCATTAGTCAATCCTAAAATGGAACTTTCCTCATGGATACCTCTTATTTGCCATTTCACAGGTTCCAACACAAACACCCGGAAGACCCAACAGAAGTGCCTGGAGGTTTTGTGAGCGACTGCAATACGGTGAGGAAAATGCTTGCATGAGTTTACAGTGCGTCCAAGTACATTGGTGTTGACAGAGTGCTTCTCGTGCACAGTGTGAAGATCGGATGATTGACACTGCAGGATAATGTATGGAGGACTTTGACTGTGATGTTCAAAAGTGACTTCCTTGGCCTGAGTGTGTGGTAAATCACTGCGGTTACAGTCGACTTCAATTATAGCAAGGTCAATTCATTGTGCCTCATTATGACCAGAACCTTGTTGTCAAATGCCCAAGAAGAAAGCAAAAGAATTGAAGAGATTTGGCCTCAGAAAATTGCTCTCTTGAGCAGAAGCACCCCCTCTTCCGTTGGAAAGAGCCACAAAGGTTGGGGGTGTTCATTTTGTTGGTCGAGATGGGACCATAACACCTGCATTTCATAGCCATTTGTCAACCGGTGAAGCGCAGTTCCCACCAAAGGAGGCTCCATTGCTAGGAAAATTGCGCCCTCTCTTGGTCCCGCTCAAGCCTCATAACAGGAGTCGACTCTGATTTTCTTTTGTTAGGATTCTCTGAGCGTGATACCCAATGCGCTGGTTGACCGGTCGGTCAAGGGAGCCAAAGTCTATGACAAGTTCCAGTTTGAGAGGAATGGCTACTTCTCTGTCGATACCGACTCCATGCCCGACAAGGTGCGTTGTCCATGTAGACCAATTCGCTGACAAGAATCAGAAGTCATTATTACGGTGTCCCCTAATGCTCACTCAACCAATGGGAGTGCATTGCTAACCAAAATCACACACGCATCAAGTTGAGGAATGTGCGCCTGAGTGACGGGACACCGCAATCATGGCGTCAGTGAATCGGTATATTGTTTCATGCTGTAGGGCAGAATTAAAAAAAAGAAAACATTCTGCATTGTGGATCTGAGAGGCTAGCTTTCCTCATCCTGAGAAAGTGAGCTGTTTAGCTAAAAACAAAACTGCTGACATTTCTGCCTCCAAAAAATCCTTTCAAATTTTATGCCACACCCGGAAAGCCTTCTTGCCCCCCCCACTAGACTCTTAACTTGAATTGTAGCCTGGTGTGATGGGATTTGTTCACCTTCTCAATGTTGTTGTCAGTATAGAAATTGATTGACGCGCGTGAGCTATTTAGCTTACAATGAGCAACTTGGCCAACGTATGACATCAGAGCACTCGTTCATAGTGAAATTTGAGCCATGCGGCAACCAAGGCCAGGATGCTTGGGGAATTTGGATAATATTGCTCTTTTAACCCATGATAAGCAGAAATAAATTCAATCAAACACAAGTGCTGGGTAGTGGGTTCCGAACCAACTTTCAAAGAGACCGCTTGGCCTCTGTTAAAAAAAAGGGTTCAAGATGACTGAATACTTTTAAAATTTGATGAATTTTTGATCATTGTTCTTGTTTTTATTTCTGTAGCTTGTTTTCAACCAAACTGTGGCTCTCAAGGAAGATGCCAGCAAAAACTGAGTGTCATCTACACGGTTGCATGCGCACAGTATCGGCCTGCTTTACAACCCATATATATATCTGTCTTTGAAGTTGTCTTTTCTCACAGTGATTATTGTAGGCTTTTAAACCTCTTCTTTCTTGTAGTTGGTGTTGTTAGAAAAGGGTAGTCTCAGGTAGAGCTTCTTCTAAGTTTGCTGAGCAGCGAAACGTGTGGTGGGCCAATGCTAGGCTGCCTGCCAATCCATGAGTTCCATCGCCTTGAAAAAGTTCTCCATTAATTTTTGCCCTGCAAATGAAGTTACAGAAACAAGGAAACTTTCATGCGAACCATGAAATGACCCGAGGGCTTTTAATGAGCGAGAATAATGCATTCACATGCATGAACCAAGAATCTACAACTGATTAGGAAATCAGGAAAAGGCCTTTTTTGCTTATAGCTGGATTATGTAGTTGATTTAGCGTATATGAAAATGAAACTATGTGTATTGTTTTTTAAAGAATCAAACATTTTGCCCCTGAAGATCTATGCACGTAATCCTACCAAATCAGAGGCAATATCTTGAAAAACACTCCTGAAGAAATCTTCTCGATGCACTGCTCAACAGCGCAAACATATCTTTACTCTTTTTAAAAGAATGAGCATCTGGTTGAGGCATATTCCGTTTATTTGTGTCATTTTCTTTCTGAAATCTCTGAATTGATGACACCAATAGTCCATTACATTGGTTTGTTGGGGGGGGGGTGTCCAGCCTGTAGCCTTCTGAGCCATTTTTTGATAGTGGCCATGTAACCATGCTGATAAGGCAGTCCATAGTCATAGGGTTGGCAGAAGGGTAAAATATTGGCAATAGACTTTATTCACGGGGGCGGTCATGTTGAATTTGAAAGCGAGGTCAACTCTTCATTTTTGAATGTTGAGAGTACAAATGAAAGCAATAAAATGACATTTCATGACAAATTTGTACCTGTCTGTACTCTGATGAATAATTTCAAACTCATGATTGAACACGTAGGATTGTACATTGCCAGATTCTGAAAATTATTGAAAGGGAGGCTTGGAACATACGGAATATAACATAGTCTGGTGCCATCCTAATCGACAGTTTGCAATACACAAAGCAGATGTGGGGAATAAGATAAAAAATGGCCTGAACCTGAATAGGGTCTATGCCTCTAATGGTAGACTTTATTTTTAACTTGCGCCTCATCGCCCATATTGTTTTGTGTGTGTGCAAATTATCTGGGAGGTCTGTGGAGACGACAGAAGTTTGAACTTAAGTACGCACTATGCACAGCCTACATTATGTAGCAAGTATCACTCGATGGCGGGGGCCCCTAGAGTGTTGGACATTTTGAGGTTGCGAGAAGGATTGTAGAGATACTGTACAAATGACTTTCAAGGGTTCGTATTCGTGGCTTTGGGCCGAATTAGAAAAGTCGTCTGATCAATCTTGCCTTTTTCTTTAAAGTCAGGGTTTTGGCCACAAAGAAGTGGCTGTGTCCGAATCACTAGGCTGCGGCTTGAAATTACACACAACCCTATGGGAACTGGTCATCAACACTACCACATGCTCGTGCCTAATAATAGGCTGCAACCATGTAATTCGGACATGGCCATACCGTCAGCTGGCCCTACTGAAAATGTCCAATTCCTTGACCTATTGAGACCAATTCACTTACGCATTGGATCCTATTCATATACCAATTAGATCCAATTCTCTTTCCAATTCAATCCAATTCTCTTACCAATTCAATAATCAATTCCAAAACCAATTGCTTTTGCTTGGAATCAATTGGAATCCAATTGGGTTCAGTTGCTTTGAATAGTAAATTCAGACCTTTTCTCAGTTGGACCATTACAAACCAATTGACACCATTTGAATGCCAATTCACAATCCAATTGTAACCAACCAAAGAACCAATTGAAACCATTTCAATACCAATTCAAACCAATTGAGTCCCATTTGAAAAATCCATTGAATTGGGAAACAACAAACAGAGAGAAAGCATACCAATTGGAACCATTTGATTCCCATTTGAAATTCCAATTGATTGGAGAAAATAAACAGCTATGAAAAAAATGCCAATTGAAACCAACTGCGTCCCATTTGAAATCTCCAATTGATGGGGGAAAACAAATGGGAGAGAAAACATACCAACTGAAACCAATTGAGCACCAATTGATTGCCAATTGGACCCAATTCATTCCAATTAAATCCAATTCAAAAAGCAATTGGTTTATGTAGGCCATTTTTAGTAGGGGATAGTTAATTTATTTCTTCAATCAGCAGAGGCTACATGCAAGAGATAACAGATCTGTATCAATTTGATTGTTCGAAATTTATTCTTTTGTCGATCATTGCGACCAGACCGGTGATCATGCCTTTATTTCATGACCTTCTTCATCAAGTTATAACATTTTGCCTTGACTGAAAACACGCAAGGTTGTAAACGGTAACCTTTTGGAATGAACTTCAAATTCTATTCAGGGTTATGTCAAATCACAAACTCTTACTTTGAATAAATTGTACCTGTCATGAGATTTACATCCAGCTGTTCATGCCAGACTCCCCTCCCTATGCCAGAATGTATCACTTTCCAAGTGAAAATTAAATTTTTTTTAAAAAGTTCTCAACTCAGTAGTCCACAAATTATTTTTTTGAAGAACAAATGTAAAGGAGTAATGAATCTGAGTTGGACTGATTGTCTCGAATGTCTGATGAATTCCGAATTTTTCTTTTGAAAAAGGAGACAGTGATTATGAAAAGTAATGGATATTTGTAAAGTGCACATATGCACTGTACTCGGGCACATTATTTGCATTATGTTGTTTGTTTTGTGGCGTTGTTGTCATTTGTTGAAAACATGAAGTTACATCATCAATTGATGTGTATCTCACCACAGGAGAATAAAGATTTTGCTGTTTATAAAAGTTCTGACTTTGTCTTCCTGGTTTCTTAAAAAATGTCTTTACAGCTCTTAGTCCCCTTACCAAGACCCCCACCCTTTGTCACAATTAGCAGAATGATTCTGTAAAATAATTTGTTGCGCGTCCATCGTCTTCTTGGGATTTGATGTGGGAAAATCCAAATGACATTCGGTTTACATAGCATTATATGCTAAAATTGCTATACGTTCTTGAAAGGGAACCAGACCAACATGCTGTGTATGTGTCAATTACACGTACTTGAATGGTTCAGAATTAATTGGCAGGTCCAGCAGGAAGCTTACACAGGACGATGGCCTCAGAAAAGAGGCATTTTGAATCATTTTGTTTCAAACAAAGTTGGTAACTTTTTGAGACTTTAATCTGCCCTTTACTTTGAGAATCTCCAATTTTATCCTCACCCTGGAGGAAGCCTATAAGGAAATCCTAAAAATGTTAGTTCCCCCCCCCAAATTTGGATCGGGATCCGCCTTTGTTCATAGCGAGAGGAGACCCTATAAGTTATGTTTGCCGGCCTCTATGAAAGCATGGCACCAGTGTATATGCGCGCGGCACACCAGTGAAATGTGGGCATCGTTACGACAATGGTTGCAGGCTCCTGTTTATCTGGCTTCAGAAAGTCACCTCAAGGACACCAAATTTTATCTAATATGAGGTCATAGTGATGGAACTCTGCAGTCGTAACCACAGATGCGTGTGTAATTTTAAATTATAGCCATGAAATTTGGAAATGGCGTTACATTTTGGTCATTACCAAAACAAATCATTGATTTTAAAAATATGGTTATGAACCGGTTGATACCGGTGGCATGGCAGTGTCCGAACACTAGGCTAAGGCTTACAGTCACACAAGACACTATGGTTGATACCGGTGGCATGGCAGTGTCCGAACACTAGGCTAAGGCTTACAGTCACACAAGACACTATGGGCCGGCCGCAAAGTCGCAGCCAAGGAATTTCAGATGCCTCCCGTCAAAAGTTCGGGGGCCCGGGGGATGACGTCAGGTCGCTATTTAGTCAGGTGCTCTGTTTATGATACTACGAGCTTATTTACGTTACCTGCCCTATTACGTCTGGTATCCAAAAGTGCACGTGCCAAACTAAAGCTCTCGAAGCGGATTCTTGGATTCTTGACCAGTGTTCTTGACATGCCTGAACACAAGTTCCTTAGGTGTAATAATGACTGAAATGCCGCCAATTTGCTTAGTGATTTCAGTCTAGAAAACAGTTTCGCTGCACCTTTTTCGATACAGTTGGTCTATAAGCAAGGAAACTGACGCATTTTGTCTGAAAACTAGGCCCCTTTTCGACACGAAGTTCGCGAGACGCAATATTCACAAGATGCACCATCGTGACGATATTGGCTGTTGTGTACTGACCATGCTGACGTACCTGCGGCGGGGAATGATACGCGCCAACTCTCTGAAACACAACTTTTTATCGTTTGCTTTGAGGAGAAAGGGACAAGTACAATGACCAATGATCATTCGTCATTGGTAAGTAAGTCAAAGCATGTATTTTATGTTACTGCAGATGTTGAGTTTTTTTGTTTGTTTTGGGTTTTTGGTTTGCATTCTTCAACTAACCATTTTTGGCAATCATTGAGCACCCTGTTCCTATATAATAAGGAAAACGAAGTCCAATTTTTGAAATTAAGTGACATTCAGACCTTGAGGATCCATTCCTTAACCTGGTAGCTCTAGTTTGGATAAACTTTGACAATATTATTTAATTTTTTACCCAAGTTCGATGCAAGACGACCCCATGAGCCTTAGCGCAAATACTACATGGGTGGTTTTGCACAATGTTAAAAAGGCATTGTGGAAGGAAAAAGGAGCAAACATTGCCCCATTTTCCTTCCCACAAGGCCTTTCTACCATTGTGCAAAATCAACCATGCAGTATGTGCGATAGGCTTATCACGCTGTTTTGTTTCATGTCTAGTTACCCTACCCAGCCATTGTGGATATACTGAATTTAATAAAAAAAACGTTTGCGGTTCCAGTTCAAGCAACCAGACTACATGCGCAGATTCGTCTTCATTCGCAGCTCTCTCTCGTGTCATTTTACGCTGCCGTTTTACCCCATAATTTCCCTAAAAAAAACCAAGTCCTTCCTTTCTTTCTGATATGAAAAAGCACATCACCTCCAATTTATTTAGGTAAGTTGTTTCGAAAATTGTAGACTTTGTTTCTTTATTATAGGAACAGGGTCCTAATGGTAATGCACTTGTCAATTGTAATCCCGGCCCAGGGGGACCCAGGACTTCTGAAAATGTAGCGGGGATGTACCTGGGGATGTCCAAAAAAAGGTGCCCCGCCGGCCTGGACGATAGCGGGGACTTGGCCAGGGTTGTACAGTGGCTGCCCCACTGACCCAGGACGATAGCAGGGACTTGGCCAGGGTTGTACAATTTGTTACTCCGTCTGTCGGTAAAATTTAAGCACTGAGCTTCGATATGAAATACAAAGTGTTTCCCCTACCCTGACAGATGAAAACCTGACAAAGATGATGCCTCATTTTGAAATCAGTGCGTGCAAAATACAGACCTTTCTTTTTTTACAAACATTGCCACCTCTTTGTATGGACTGCTAAATGATTAAAATGTGGTAATTTAATCTTTCAACCAAGTAGCACTGGTCACGTGTCTTTTGGCGACACGGGGCCAGGATTACAATTGTCAGGTGCATAATGAACGCCCCATTTTTGTGTTTCTGCTTACATTGTAATCAGGAATAAGTCACTAAGGCTGTTTTACCTAATGGCAGAGTAAAGTGGGGATGTGGGTAAATGTTGAAATAATCAATGTGGCGGTTTTTGTATATTTTCGAAGTGAGTCACTGTGTATGAAAGGTTACCATGGTTGCCACCAATATGTACCAATTGAAAGCTTATGAAATTCTCTTTCTGACCATGTACATATATCTAAAAATGTCAATTTGCGACTTACATGTATTCCTGATTTTGAAGTGCTGGGTCACATATTCTTCCATTACAGTTGACTCTGGCCATTTCTAAGTAGGCCCTATCTGCCCTATCTCTGTAATGGTAACAAGTAAAGACTTGTTAGTACAATGTAGGGTTTTCCAGAGGGGGGATGTACCCTCTACATGTATCATTGAAACGCTAAATATGCCCACCAGACTCATGTAGGTTGGATTGTACACCCGCCCCCCACATGTCCTATTTTCGAACGTTTGATATTT